AACTCTAACATATAACAAGTGGCTCAAATCAACAAGTGCCTCAAATTAACAATAATACCAAATGTCGGGAGGCATTTTGGCATCCGCCAACTTTTATGAGAGAGAGAGAGAGAGAGAGAGCCAACGCTCTCCGAACTGATGCAGCTCCTACGGAAAATGCTATCTAGTAGTGATCCCAAACGTCGCAATCACGGTTGCCACTGAGTAAAAAAATTTCCTACACAAATTTCCGGAAAACTTACCAAAACGTTATCAACTATTTTTTATTATTATAGCAAAGCATAACATAAAAAATATTTTAATTCATTATATTTACGAATTTTAATAAATTAATATTGCAGTCAGTTTCTAAAATATTTTTTTCTGACCAAACATAATATTGGTTATTAGCTAAAGCCAGTTCTTTAGCCATCATTACATTGTTTAAATAATTAAATATATATTCGGAAATAATAAAATCTTGATTTTACATCTTAAAAGGTACCAAAACAAAAGCGAAGTTACCAAGTTACCAGCACTGAAAAAAGTTACCCATTTAGGTAGAATTCTACCAACTGTGGCAACCGTGGTCGTGGACAAGGCATGCCCTCCTCTTAAGAAAGTACCCTGTCTGCAGACTCTATATTTTTGTCTAGTAATAGGAGTACTTTGACATGCTGTACCGAATATCATTGTAATGTAGTGCTTATAACGAATTTAAATATCGAATCGTATGAAGCATATATATGAGTGGTTGGATGAGCGGTCAAAACTTTTGACAAGACTTCAATGTAATTCCAATAATTATTCTATGAAATTTGTAAAGAACGTCTACGGACTCAATATTTATACCCTCAGCCATATGGCTAGAGAGGGTGTATATCATTTCATACGTGCCTCGTCAAAATAACGGTTTTAGACCCTAGGTCTCTTTGGAACAAGTATGTTTCAGGACATTTGGAGTCGATCTAGCGATGTCCGTCCATCCGTCTGTCTGGCTGGTTGGTGCACCCGATAACTTTTGAAGGGGGTGTCCGATTTGGCCCAAACTTGGTACATCGTAATATTATTATCAAACTTAGATCGAGTTCAGAGATGGGCAATATCGTTCCACTCCTTCTGGTACCTCCCCCACAAAATGTCAAAATTTTCAAAGAAACTAATTTACTGCACAGAAAGATAATGGACAATGCTTTGCGCATCCTAATATTTGCATTAGTGCTCGGTATACTCCATCAAGTACCTCCCCCACAAACTCTTATAAAATGTGATGAAAGTTTCCGATTGTCTTCAAATTACACACATCACAATATTTTTTATTAACCAAAGGTCTGGTTTAAAGATGGAATATGTCGGTTCACTTCTTCTTGTACCTCCCCCACAATGGGTTAAAATTTTAAAAAAATATATCTCTTATAATTTGCAAAATATATAAACGATTCTGCTCAAATTTCACACATCACAATATTTCTATCAACACATAATCTGGTGTGAAGATAATGTCAGACCACTCCTTCTTTGGTATTTCCCCCACAATGCGTCAACATTTTGAATAACTTTGTGGCTCATAAAACGCGATTATTTTCAAACTTGACACATTCCAATATTTCTGCTAATATAAGACCTGGCGTGAAGATGGAATATATCGGTCCGCTCCTTCTGGTACCTCCCCCACACTTGGTCAAAAATTTGAATAACCAAAACGTTCATAAATGCGTAGTAAGCATCCGATTCCCTTTAAATTTTACACATCTCAATATTTCTAATAACACAAGATCTGGTGTGAAGGTAATAGATATCGGCCCACTCCTTTTTTATCCCCCCCCTCAAGGATCACAATTTTCAATATTTATATCTCTTATAATTTGCGAAACAAGTCAGAGAATCTTTTAAAACTTGGTAACCTGTGATCTGATGTGAATATAGAATTCATCGGTTCAATCCTTCTGGTATCTCCCCCACAAAACGTTTAAATTTTAATTAATTATTTGCAAAAACTTGGAAATAAAAGTTAGATGCTCATCCCAATATTTTTTATACCCTCCACCATACATAGTATGGAAGGCATATTAAGTTCGTCATTCCGTTTGTAACTCATCGAAATAATAATTTTAGACCCAACAAAGTACGATTTAGCCCTGTCCGTCGGTCCGTCTGTTGTAATCATGCTAGAGTCAAAACGAATGAAGATAGGAAGCTAAAATTTTGCACAGATCTGTCTTTTGTCTGCAGGCAGATCAAGTTCGAAGATGGGCTATATCGATCCACGATATCCTGTATCCCCAACATAACGGTACCTCCCGATAATCGGTATTTTGATGATTTTAGCCACATTTTTCAACGTAATTGTTTGAAATTCCACACAAGGAATTCCTTGTGGGTACTTTATCCTCTGGAGGAGAATTATCTATATATGTCCACTATATCGTATAGCCCCCATATAACGGTACTCCCGATATTCGGTATTTAAATGATTTTTACCACATTTTTCAATGGAATTATCTGAACACAACAACAAGGAGTTCCTTGCACGTACTTTATCCCCTGGAGGTGAATTATCTATATAGGTCCACGATATCGTATAGCCCTCATTTAACTGTACTCCCCCGGTATTCGGTATTTTGATGATTTTAGCCACATTTTTCAATGGAATTGTCTGAAAATCCACACAAGGAGTTCCTACTGAGTACTTAATCCCCTGGAAGAGAATTATCTATATAGGTCCACTATATCGTATAGCCCCCATATAACGGTACCTCCCGATATTCGATATTTTAATGATTTTTCAATGAAATGGTCTGAAATTCTATACAAGGAGTTCCTTGTGAGTACTTTACCCCCAGAAATAGAAATATCTATGTAGGTCCACAACATCGTATATTCCCCATATGTCGGCACCTTCCGATATTCGGTATTTTTAAGATTTTAACAGAATTTTTAATGGATTTTATTTTTATACCCTACACCACATAGTGGTAAGGGTATTATGTCTTTGTGCATTTGTTTGTAACATGGAGAAGGAAACGAGATAGACCCATAGTTACTTTTGAGGATCTCCATGAGTTGATTTATGCATGTCCGTCCGTCCGTCTGTCCATGTATTTTTGTGAACAAAATGCAGGCCGCATTTATTATCCGATTGAGATGAAATTTTGCACAGATCATTTGTTTGGCCCAAGGACGAACCCTATTGAACTGGGAGATAATCGGTAAAAATTTAGATATAGCTCCCATATATATCTTCGTCCGATTTGCCTTTTATTGTGCACCAAACGTGTAATATCAGCCCGAATAGTATGGAATGGAATTTTGCACATACAACCAGATTAGGCATGAAAATAAGTATGCCAAATTTGATCGAAATCGGTTCAGATATAGCTATAGCTCCCATATATATTGTTCATCCGATTTGTTATTTTTGTCCTCCGCAGCCGTAATATGCACACTGCAACAACAATATTTGGGGAAATATATCAAATGCAGCCCAGAAATACCTTTGCTAAATTTTATCGAGATCGGTTCAGATTTGGATATAGCTCCCATACATAACTTCGTCCGATTTACCTTTTATTGTGCATCAAACGTCTAATATTTGTCCAATTGCGATGGAATTTGGCACATTCGACCAAATTGAGTCTAGGAGGTAGTATGCCAAATTTGGTGAAAATCGTTTCAGATATAGCTATAGCTCCCATATATATTGTTCATCCGATTTGTTGTATTTGTTACCCACAGCCGTAGTATGCACTCCGCAACAACAATATTCAGGGAAATATATGAAATGCAGCTCAGAAATATATTTGCCAAATAGAGATCGGTTCAGATTTTGATATAGCTCCCATATATATCTTTATCTGATTTCAAATTAATTTTGCACCAAATGGGTAATACAAGTCCGAATTTAAAAGATGCAAATGCTTCGGCATATTTAATCTTTTGAACTTTAAATTATAATTATAATCATAGCGTGAATGATTGAATTCTCCAATAAAAACTTTTAAAAAGTGGTGTAGGGTATTATAAAGTCGGTCCCACCCGACTTTAGGACTTTCTTTACTGGTTTTTTATTTTTTTTTTTTGTAAATTTCCTAATTTGTCCTAAATGGCTGAACTTACTACTTTCTTACGTGTTCAGTATTAGAAGAAGTGGAATTCTTCGGTCTACTATGTCTGTTACTTCACGTTCATTTCTTATTTTTCCAAAAAATAAAGTAGTCGATATAGCCCAAATCTGGCACATTTATATGAGATTTAGGTCAGATACGAAATGAACAACACTGAAACCACCCCCATTCTTTTGGAACCAACCCCCAACAAAGTGTCAGCAGTATGAAGCAAGTCAAAATATATTCAAATAAACGACCAGTGGCTGAGGGTATACATCAGTCGCAATTTTTTTTCTAGATGATTTCTTTTTATCCAAAATCTAAGTAAATGAGAACGAAATAAGAATGTGTACATTTTAAAGATAATACATCACAATGAATAGATATTCTATGACTTCATTAATGCAAACAAAAAATATTCATTTGTTGACTTTTCAATTATTTTATGATCGTTGCAGAGTTGTTTTGTTTACTTTTTTTTGACACACAAATGTACATTCATACATTGACTGTTTTGGTTAGTAAAGCCAAGTGAATGTATGAATCGATCCATTAATAAATATAAAATAGATAAAAATAAATTTTGTATATGGCATAAGATTTATCTAACAGGCCAAACGTGCAGATAATATGGTCCGTGGGTTAGAGTATAAGGATGAGCGGGTAAAACACGCACAAATACACACACCTAGCTAGACCGATTCGCCGCACATTATCTGAAATTATCTTCTAATGTTTACTTTTTATCACACTATTTTAGTTGTAAATTCTCAAAATATTTATTGGATATTCAGTCAATTCATAAGACCACACAAAACTTAAATGTGTTTGCCATATGTTTGTGGGTTAATTGAATTTTCTCAAAACAACAAAAAATAACATAATTAATATTCTGTTCTTTTTCTATACTTTCAGAATCCATTGAATATGTGCTGAAATCTGTTATTACTTTCATTGCGAATTGAAAACGAAATCGAATTCTATTATTGTCAATTTTAACGAATTTTTAAAACTTAAATATAATCCATCCGATTCCGCTACCATGAAACGTAGTAAGTGGAGCTGCAGCTCCACACAACGCTTCATGATTTCATGGACGTTGCTGAGCGCCTTACTGCTGAGCTGTGGACCACAATGGACGATGGGTCATGGTGCAACAACATTTATGCCTGCCCTAGAATGTTACGATAAATATGGTAAACCTCAGGTAAGATTTCAACTTTTTTGTTAGCATTTAACAAAAAAAAACCGAATCGAAAAGCAAATGTATATAACTCACATTATTCAAATCATGCTCACAGATGTTATCACACACATTAATATTCTTGCAATTTATTTATTTTTATTAATTTAATAGATATCAATAACATCAAATTAAAAGCTGTCCAACAAAATAATTTAAAAATGTCGTCGGGGTGTGTTGTGGTTAAATTGATTGTTTGGCCATGCCAATTTAACGCATATCATTTTGTGACATATTTTGGATAATAACCAGTAAGAAAAGACAAAAGTCGGGCGGCGCCGACTTTAAAACCCCCACACCACTATGACTATTTAGTAGAGCCGTGTGTTGCAACTAAACGTTAATATTGGCAATTTAGGTGTTAATTACGAAGTATCGCTTTAGATCGGTTTAAATTTGAAATAGGTAAAAACTAACTTACAAAAGCCATATCTCCATCGATTTCCACTAAACTTGACTGAGGTAAATTTTTATAGTATGTTACCTCTCGAACCAAATATCTTTGCTATGGAGTGCATGTTATGACTTTCAGAATACTTAAATAAAAAATCGGTTGAAATTATTTTATTTGATCAAAAGTAACGCCTTGATGTATTACGAGTATTTACATCAAATTAGAAGGAAACTTAACACACTTGATTCTAGGCTAAATTTGTAAGTCTCTGCCAAAATTCTTCCACATTTGGCGAACTTGAAATCGAACGAACAAAAACAAGGTGAGATAAAAAAAAAAAAAACTGCAACAATTTTTTTTTTTTAATTTGAAAATGAAAGCAAAAATGTCAGAAATAGCATCAAATTTTAGAATAAGTTTAGATTTGTTCGAATTGGTCACCTTTGGCACGAATTATGGCCTTCAAACGGCCAATGAAACCGTCACATGCTGTCCGAATGTTGCTCTGCGGTATTTTTGCCCATTTCCGGCCAAGCGCTTGCTCGAGGTGATCGACACTTTGATATTTTTTAGTGCCAACATTACTTTCCAAAATACTCCAGACACAATAGTCCAACGGATTGGTATCCGGAGATTTTTGTGGCCATTGTGCGCTGGAAATTAAGTGATGAACCTCATTTTGTAACCATTCTTGGGTGGTGCGTGCTGAGTGCCGATGGTGCTGAGTCCTGTTGGAATGTCCAAGGTCTGCGGCCAAAATGTGTGCGTGCCCAAGGTTTTAATACACTCTCCAGAATATTCTCGCGAATTTCGGTGTAAGTTCTTGCACTTTTTGGAATTTCAATGGCTTTACCCTGAGCTAATTTGTCAATGTTTGCCGAATGGAATATTGCGATATGTTCAGCTCACGATCCATTTTCCGCCACTACGACGCGGGTTTCGATCAAGTTTCTGTTTTCTTCCGTCCACTTCCTTGGCGTCGGGTTACGCTACCAGCGATGGTACGAAACTCAAAAGAGGTATTCATATTTAAATGCTGAAGTGCTCTAACGACAGCCACTTGTAGTTTTCCAGCCAAATATAAAGAAATCACACTATCACGCTTGAATTCCATCACAAATAACTTGTTTTCTGGAAAATTCTCACCAAAATGCTTTTGTACGCTTGTAAACAATATAATGAGCTGTCACTGGAATAATTTTAACAGCTGTCGGACTAGTGGCTTAGAAATGACAGCAGTCTGAAGTTGGTTGCAGTTTTTTCATCTCACCCTATATATGATAACCTACACAACTATTCCGTTTGTAACTCCTCGAAATATTTATAATAAACCCTACAAAGTATATATATTCGGGTTCAGGTTAAAATTCTGAGACGATTTACCGATGTCCATCTGTCTGTCTGTTAGATTCTAAATTTGTCTGTATGATAGAAGACTAAAATTTTGGACACGTGTGTATTTTGCCAGTAGGCAGGTTAAATTCGTAAATAGGCCATGTCGGTCCACGTTTTCGTATAGCCCCCATATAACGTTATCTCCCGATATTATTCACTTGAATTGTTTCAAACTTAGTATTCTAGAAGAGTATTGTCTACATAGGTTCCGATATATTATATCCCTCATATAACGGTACCTCCCTATATTCGGTATTTTGATGATTTTAGCTTAATTTTTCAACGGAATTATTAGAAAATCCACAGAAGAAGTTCTTTCTAAATACTTTATCTCCTGGAAGAGAACTGTCTTTATAGATCCACGATATCGTATAGTCCCCATATTACGGTACACCCGCCGATATTCGGTATTTTGATGATTTTATTCCCGGATTTGTTCAAATTTCGTATTTAGAATTCGTAATGAGTACTACAGCCTATAACAAAAAATTATGCAGGACCACGTTATCGTATAGCCACCATATAACGGTATCTCCCTATGTTCGGTGTTTTGATGATTTTAGCGACATTATTCATCGGAATTGTTTCAAATTTCGTGAAATTGTCTATGACGGTACATGTCTTCGTATATAACGGTACCCGGCGATATTCCGTATTTTGATTATTTTAGCGACCATATTCACCGGAATTGTTTTAAATTTGGTATTTGAAGTTCGTGTACCCATTACGAACTTCCTATATCCTATGACAGAAAATTGTCTGTGCATGTCCACGTCTTCGTATAGCCCCCATATAACGGTACCTCCAAATATTCGGTATTTTGGTTATTTTAGCGACATTATTCACCGGAATTGTTTCAAATTTGGTATTTGAAGTTCGTAATGAATACTACAGCCTAAGACAGAAAATTGTATATGCCGCTCCACGTCTTCGTATAGCCACCATATAACGGTACCTAAAAATATTCGGTATTTTGATTATTTCAGCGACATTATTCACCGGATGTTTCAAAATTGTATGTGCCAGTCTTCGTATGGTCCCGATATATCGTTACCTCCCTATATTCGGTATTTTGATTATTTTAGCGACATTATTCATCGGATTTTTTTCAAGTTTCGTATTTGAATATTGAAAAAAGTTGCCAATGCTGGTCCACGTCTTCTTATGGACCCCAATATAACTGCGATTTCATATATTCAATAGTTTTACTATTTTAACAAAATTTTTAGCAGATCTTATTTATTTATTTATTTTTTTTTTATTTGAAAATTTCCATATTCGTTCCACAGAGTAGTACTTAAAGTTCGGCCAGGCCGAACTTACTGTTGTTTTACTTGTTCGAAATTAATTCTTTTAATATTTCAACGACATATTCGAAACTGTAACATATTTGCCAAAAGGGCTTCAAATTCCACATTAATCCAGAATATATTTATTCGCTTTCTGTGTGTGCAAAATCTACATTCAAATAACAATGGTTATCTTAATTCCAAGAACAATGTTTATACGTATGTACCAATGTACTCTAATAAAATTATGATGAACATGCATTTGTGAGAATTTTTGCTGATGCTTAACGAGGGTTTTTTGGTAACATCTATTTTTAATGTTTTTTTTTTTCTTTTTTTTGTAATTCCTTTAGAGATGTATGCCCGAATTTATAAATGCTGCTTACCAACTGCAAATTGAGGCGACAAATACCTGTGGCGAACAGGGCGATAATCACTTTTGTGTACAGACCATGAATTCGAATCACAAGAATTGTGAATTTTGCAGGTAAATAATTATGATTATGCAATTGTTTGAGCTAAACAAGTGCAAAAACCAAAACAACAACTACAACAACAAAAATAATTAACACAATTTTTCCACTTTTCCAGATGGGAGGATCATAATCCATCATTCTTAACCGATTTGCACGATCCACAGAATCCAACATGGTGGCAATCTGAAACAATGTATGAGGGCATTCAACACCCGAATCATGTTAATCTTACCTTGAATTTGCGTAAGTATGGTGGCATCACTTACCACTACACAAGGGGACACTACTTGTGGCAATGGCCACAATTTCAAATGAATGAATGAAATACGATCGTGCAGCTATACTGATGACCATTTTTTTGTTTTTTTCTTGATGTTCTTCTTTGCAGGTAAATCATTTGATATCACTTATGTTCGTCTACTCTTCCGTTCACCTCGTCCCGAATCGTTTGCCATTTATAAGCGTACTTGCGAAACCTGTCCCTGGTTGCCATATCAATACTACAGTGCCACTTGTCGCGACACCTATGCCCTACCTGACTATCGTTCCATACGCAAGGGCGAGGGTGAGGCACATGCCTTCTGTACCAGTGAGTACAGTGACATCTCACCGTTGAGAGATGGTGAAATTGCTTTCTCTACGTTGGAGGGTCGTCCCAGCAGTATACACTTTGAACATAGCTCAGAATTGCAGGTAAGAGAAACTCTGGCAAATAAATGATGTTTAAGACCAAATATGTTTATGCGTAGAACGGGTTTTACACTCTGGAGTACACAGTGCGCAAATTTGAAAATTTCAATTTTGCTTTGCAAGAAAAACCACGAAGATTACGAACGTAGATTTAAAAATAGAATACACGTCTATCGGTGCATGGAAAGGTTACATCGCAAAGTAACCTAAATAGAGGAGACAAATTTCACCCTCTTCAATTTTTCCTACATTTTCGGATTAAGATTTCGAATTATTTTGATCGAATATTTTAACGTTCTGGAGAGTCACGTGCATTATTTGTGGGCCGATATTTTCCATTTCGTATCAGCCCAAAGTCTAATACATATTTTACAAGGTACCAGATTTGGCCTATAATATTTGGAAAATTTTCAAATGTGCGGGATGTACCGATAGACAAAAATATTTGGATGTGTAAAATGTTAAGGAAATCGAACACTTATTTAGGATAATAGTTCCAAAAGGAATGGTCCTACATATTCCATATGCAAACCAATTTTTTATTAGAATATTGGCATGTCTGAAATTTTAAGAGAATTGGATGCTCAATTCGTTTTTTTTTTTTTGCTTTGGTCATTCAAAATGTTGATTCCTTCTGGACCTAGATCTTCACAACAGAACTTATGTTGATAAAAATATTAGGTATGACTAAATTCAAAGGAATCGGATGCTCATTAAAGTTTTACGGAATGAAGGCTATTCAAAATTTTGACTCGTTGTTAGGGAGGTACTAGAAAAAGAGGTCCGATATATCCCAACTCCACACCAGATCTTTTGCATAAGAGTTATAATTATTCGAAGTTTTGACCCTCTGTGGGGGAGGTACTTGATGGAGTATGTCGATATTGCCCATTTTCGCATCAGATCTAGAACTGATAAAAATATTGGGATTTACAAAGTTTGCACAAAATCGAAAATGTTGGGGAGGTACCAGAAGGAGTGGACCGATTTTGCCCATCTCGGAACTCGATCTAAGTTTGAAAATAGTAGTACAGTGTACCAAGTTTGGACCAAATCGAATAATCCCTTCAAAAGTTATCGGGTGCACCAGCCAGACAGATAGACAGACGGACACCCCTAGAACGACTCCAAATTTCCTGAAACGGATTTGGTCCAAAAAGACCAGGGGTCAAAAACCGTTATTTTTTGGAAGTATCAAATGATATGTATCCTGTCTGTCTGGGCGGCTGTTGCGCCAGATAACTCTCGAAGCGAGTATCCTATTTGGTCCATGCTTGGCACATCGTAATTATAGCCTCAGCCCAATGGCTAGAGATGGTATATATCATTTGATACAGCCAAAACGTGTCTCATCGAAATACGTGTTTTAGACCCTAGGTTTCTTTGGACCAAATCCATTTCAGGACATATGGAGTCGATTTAGCGATGTTCGTCCGTCTATGTGAAAGGAGTATCCGATTTTTCTCCAACTTTTCATATCCTAATATTTGCATCAGTGCTAGGTCAGGTGCGAAAATGGACAATATCAACAAGATCAACTCCATCAAGTACCTCCCCCACAAAGGGTCAACATTTTGAATAATTATAACACCTGTAAAATGTGATGTAAGAGCCTGATTGTCTTCAAATAACACAAATCACAATATTTGTATTAACCCAAGGTCTGATGCGAAGATGGAAAATATCGGCCTACTCCATCAAGTACCTCCCCCAGAAAGAGCCAAAAGTTTGAATAATTATAACTCTTATAAATTTCTGAAATAAGAGTCCGATTGTAAAATTTCGCAGATCTCAATATTTTTATAAATAATAGATCTGGTATGAAGATTAAATATATCGGACCACTCCTTCCAGTACCTCCCCTACAACAGGTCAACATTTTGAATAATCGTCTGTCTTATAAAATGTGACACAAGAGTTCTAGGGTCTTCAAATTTCACACATCAGATAGAACAGACCACTAGATCTGGTAACTCTCCCTCAACGGGTCAAAATTTTGAAATAAAAAATTTTGCTCATAAAAGGCGAAATTAGCATCCGACACTTTTCAAACATGACACATTCTAATATAACAATCAACAGAAGTTCTTTTGAACAATTATATCTCTCAAAATTTTGAACAATTATATCACTCAGAAAATCCACACATCCCAATATTTTTCCTTCTAATATCTTGAATAATTATATCTCTCATAAAATGTGAAATAAGCATATTATTCTTTCTAAAATTCGCACATTCCAATATTTCTACTAATGCAAGATCGGGTGTGAAGATGATTGATATCGGCCAACACCTACAGGAGCCTTCCCTACAAGGGGTAACAATTATCAGTATTTATATATCGCTTAAATTGCGAAACAAGTCAACGATTCTTTTCAAACTCGGTATATATAAAGCCAGACCAGAGATCTGATGTGAATTTGGAATTTATTGGTCCACTCTTTCTGGAACCTATCCCACAAAAGGTTAACATTTTGATTAACAATTATTCTCATAAAATTGAAAATAATTTTGTATTTTTTATATATACATTTCAATATTTTTTTTTTAATATTAGATAAACTGATATTCTTCGGTCCATCTATTCATGGTACGCAGATTTTAACATTATCCACAAGTTATCACATATCTGATCAAAAGTCATCGATATAGTCCAAATATTGCACGTTGTAATATTTATATCAGATTAATGTCAGATACGAACATGGAGAGTCAAGAGTTTGAATAATCATAACGAAGGTCAAAATACATATTTAAACTAGCAGATGTCCGCTGCTTTGTATGTGGAAACATGAATTTGTGTTGAGTGAATTTTGAAACACCAAACAAAGTTAATACTATTTAGCTCTTTTAATACTTTTTAGTACATATTTCCAAATCCTCCGTCAAGAATGAATTAAACCGCATAAAAGATGATCCTAATGGAAAATTGTAGGCTCTAACTCAATCCCTTACCCAAAAAAGGAATTTAGTACCATTTAGCACTTTTTAGTACGTGTTTCCAAAACCACCTCCAAATCTCAACTCTAAACATGAACAGTTATCATAATGTCAAAATTTCAAGCAGAATTCATTCACGCAATACCAATTTTTGTACCAGTTAGTACCTTTGGTGTACATAAGTACAAATTTCCAAGACTTACTACAACCCCTATCCTACAATCCAACAGTAACATTAATTCCAAATTCTAGAGCCCCATCTCTATGGGTCCATCCAAATTCAAACTGTACCAAATTTAGTACCATTTAGTACACATAAGAACAAATACCAACAACTACCTACATCATAGAATCCAATAGAAATCTTTTGTCCTAATTTAAGGATTTCAACTCTAACTGTTGTCCCAAAATTTAAATTGTACCAAATTTTGTACACATAAGTACGAATTTCCAAAACTACCTACATACCTCAGTCCCACAATAGTATTATTTAAAGCACCTCCAAATCTCAACTCTGGTGATCCTAATGCCAAATTTCAGTTTTCAAGCAGTATCCGTTCACGCAATACCAAATTTTGTACCATTCAGTACCTTTGGTGTACATAAGTACAAATTTCCAAAACTTACTACATACCCCAATTCTACAATCCAACAGTAATCTTAATACCAAATTCCAGATCTCTAGCTCCATGGGTTCAACCAAATCCAAACTGTACGAAATTTAGTACCATTTAGTGCATATAAGTACAAATTTCCATTCATACCTACATCATACAATCCAATAGAAACCGTTTGTCCTAATTTCAGGATTCCAACTCTACCGGTTATACCATAATTTAAATTGTACCAAACGTAGTACCATTTAGTACACATAAGTACAAGTTTCCAAACCTAGCTACATATCTCAGTCCTACAATGCAATAGTAATTTTATTTTCAAATTTCCAGCTCTATCGGTACACCCAAATCCAAATTGTACCAAATTTAGTATCATTTCGTACTTTTCGTGCACATAAGTACAAATTTCGAAAACCACCTCCATATCCCAACCCTACAGTCTGTTTGTAATATTAATTTCAAATTTCAGGATTCCATCACCATTTGTTACTAAAAATTCGAATTGTACTACATTTAGTACCGTTTAGTACTTTTCGTATAATTTAGCACTTTCGTATACACACTTCCAAAACTACCTCCTTACATCGATTCTGCTGCTCAACCTTAATTCTCATTCCAAATTTCAAGTTTTTAGCCCTAACCGTTCGCATTACACGAAATCGTATCAAATGTAGTACATTCTAGTACTTTTCGTACATTTATTGTTTTTTTATTTATTGCGAATTTCCAAAAACCTTTTGGTATCTCCAACATACACTCCAAATTTAAGAGTTTTAGCTCTACTTGTTCGTCAAATACAAATGGTACCAAATTTATCAACTTTTAGTACTTTTCTAATACGAATTTCCAAAACTCCACCCTTATCTGACGTTCACCCAAAATATCAAGATTCTAGCTTCAGCCTTCTGTTGTGGAATTTTACACACTTTGACCGCCATGTAATGGTACCTTCTGGCATTTGCAATTTAAAAGTCATCTTGACCGAATATCAAATTCTGATACTTTTATTTTACAACATTCCCTTATCTTAATGGTGGAGGGTATTAAAAGCTCCGGCTGCCAGACTTAATGTTTCTTTTACCTAATTGCATTTCTATTCTTTCTCTTTTTTATTTCCTCCAGGAATGGGTAACTGCCACCGATATACGCATTACATTGGATCGTCTCAATACATTCGGTGATGAACTCTTTGGCGATGCTCAAGTACTGAAATCATATTTCTATGCCATTTCGGATATTGCAGTGGGAGCCAGATGCAAGTGCAATGGTCACGCCAGCAAATGCGTTGAAAGCACCGGCATGAATGGCGAACGTCGACTGGTTTGTGAATGTCGTCACAACACCGATGGTCCAGACTGTGAGAGATGTTTGCCGTTGTACAATGATGTCAAATGGAAGATGGCCACATCCACCGATGTCAATGAATGTAAACGTAAGTAGGAGCGGGTTATTTCTAAGGCAATGGGGAAAGGGATTTTAGACTTGAGTGTGTGTGTGTGCGTGTGTGGAAAAAAGTTGATTTTAGTCATTTAAGGTTAGAACCGCTTTGGATATCATGGGGTTAGCTAAAGTACTACCGTTAGTATAATTTTCAAACAACAACTTGCAAAGGCTTTGTTGTTACTTTACCGTCAGTTAGTTTTGATCATGTGTTCTGAGCGTAAAAGATGCAGAATATCTTGGTGTCGCTATTTTCTTGCATCGTTGCAGTAGTCGAGAGTCAGTGGGAATATTCATTGGAAACAAATCGTATCGATGTAAATCAAACGGACCTATGGTATTTTGTAAATAGTAAGTAGAAATGGAGTTTTTGATAACAATTAGATGTTGCGGAATCTACTGCAGAAAATGTTAAACTATTTGAATTCTCTTTGCTCCCAAAAGTTCTACTACTTTTCTATATGGTGTGAAAATGTATGATAACACAATTTCAAAGGAAATCATTTCCTTTATTGTATTCCTTTGGGAATTAGAGTTTGATGGCCAATTCATTGTATTCTATCGCTACAATACGGATTTCCTGGTCTTTTACTTCTTCCACGGCCTTGTGGATTGGATTCTAGCGCAGATGTGGAAATGAAATTGGCGCCCTGTGAATTCTATGTATTTCAACTTTCTTCCAATATATAATAACTTTAGACCAAACAAGGTATATATATTCTTGATCCGCGTAGAACCACCTCCCAATGGAATTGTCTAAAAATCCACACATGGGGTACTTTACCCCCTGGAAGAGAATTTTCTATATGGGTCCACGATATCGAATATCCCCCATATAAGGGTACACCTCCATAATAAGTTTTTTTTTTTTTTATTTTAGCCACATGTTTCAATGGAATTGTCTGAAAATCCACACAAGTGATTCTCCTTAAGTACTTTACCCCCTGGAAAAGAATTTCCATAGAGTTATATGAAAATCCACACAAGGAGTTCCTTCGGAATACTTTACCCCCTAGAAGAGAATTTTTGGAATTGTCTGAAAATTCACACAAGGAGTTCCCTCCGAGTACATTACCCCCTGGAAGAGATTTGTTTATATATTAGGTCCACGATATCGTATAGCCTTCGCACAACGGTACCCCCGATATTCGGTATTTTAATGATTTTGGCCACATTTTTAATGGAATTGTCTGAAAATTAACACAAGGATTTCCCACCGAATACTTTACCCGATATTCGGTATTCTGATGATTTTAGTGACATTTTTACCGGTATTGTTTCAATTTCGTGTTTGAAACTCGTAATGGGTACTACAATCTATGACGGAAAATTGTCTATGTAGGTCCGAAAATGTTTAAAAATTTAGATGGAATATATTGGTCCACTTCTCATGGTACCTCCCCCACAATGGGTTTAAATTTTGAATAATCATGAAGCTCAGAAAAAGCAAAATGAGCATTCGGTTCTCTTAAAATTTCATACATATTAATATTTGTAACACAAGATCTGGTGCAAAGTTGTTATATATCGGACCACCCGTTTTAATATCTCCCCAACAAAGGGTCGAAATTTTGAATAACTATGACTCTTATAACATGCGAAAAAAAAATCGTTATATCCTTAAATTTCGCACATATCAATATTTTTATTAATACAAGATCTAGTGTACAGATGGAATGTATCGGAACATTCCTTCTGGTACCTTCCCCATAACGGGTTAAAATTTTGAATAATTGTGGCTATAATAAAACGCGATATTAGCATCCGATTCTCTTCAAATTTCACACATCGCAATATTTTTATAAATACAAGATCTGGTGTGAAAGTAGACACATAGATAGATATCGGCACACACACTGTTACCTCCCCCACAAAAGGTTCACAATTTGGAATATGTATCTATCATAATGTGCGAAACAAGTCGGGGATTCTTTTCAAGCTTGGTATATCTACATATTTCTCTCAACCAGATATCTGATGTGAATATGGAATTTATCGGCTCACTCCTTCTAGTACTTCCCCCACAAAATATGATTAAAAATTATTCCCGAAAATTGGTTATAGTTGTCTGATTTTCTCCATATTTTACACATCCAAATATTTTTATCAGTATTAGATGAAGTGGAACACTTCGGTCCACTATATCTGGTACCTGTCTCATATTTCAACATTTTCCAAAAATTATCACTTATCTCAAAGATCTTTTCTTAGTGAAAATATTGAGATGTGTAAAATTTGAAGATAATCGAAAGTAAATTTGAAGATAAGATAATTTTACAAGAGTTATAATTATTCCAAATTTTGACCCTCGGAATACGTCGCTAAAATCATTAAAATATCGAATATCTAGAAGTACAGTTATATGGAGCTATACGAATACATGGAGCTGATAATAAACTGTAGCACCCATTACGAACTTACAATACGAAATTTCAGAATATTCCAGTGAGAAAATATCTTCGCTAAAACCAAATAAAATACCGAATATAGAAAGGTATCGTTATATGGGGGTTATACGAATACATGGACCTATATATGTATTTTCTGTCATAGGATGTAGTTCTCATTGGGAAATTCGAAATGCAAATTTGAAAAGTGTCGTTGAAAAGTGTCACACAAATCCTCAAAATACCGAATATCTGGAGGTACAGTTATATGGGAACTACATAAAAAATTAGACCTACATTGACAGGATTTTTCTTATATAATGGGAACATATGCTGCCAATTTACAGCAAATTTGGGCTAAAATTCTGACTAAATCATAAAAAAATCTTAAATCTGTTGGTACAGTTATATGGGGCCTGAACCAAAACGTGGACCTATAGGGTGAGATAAAAAACTGCAACAAAGTCAAACGCCATAATTTTTACATTTTTTTTTTAATTTTATTGAATGAAAGCAAAAAAAAATTCGGAAATAGCATCACATTTTAGAATAAGTTTAGATTTGTTCGAATTGGTCACCTTTGGCACGAATTATGGCCTTCAATCGGCCAATGAAATCGTCACACGCTGCCCGAATCTTGCTCTGCGGTATTTTGGCCCATATCCGGCGAAGCGCTTGCTTGAGGTGATCAACACTTTGGTATTTTTTAGTGCCAACCTTCCCTTCCAAAATACTCCAGACACAATAATCCAACGGATTGGTATCCGGAGATTTTGGTGGCCATTGTGCGCTGGAAATGAAGCGAGGAAACTCATTTGGTAACCATTCTTGGGTGGCGCGTGCTGAGTGCAATGGCGCTGAGTCCTGTTGGAATGTCCAAGGTCTGCCGCCAAAATGTTTGAGCGCCCAAGGCTTTAAAACACCCTCCAAAATATTTTCGCGATAATATTCGGCATTTATTCTGATGCCACGATCGATTAATACGAGTGGGGCGGCCATCGGTTGTTATGGCGGCCCACACCATCACCATGGCCGGCGCTTGAGTTCTGCTGGCCAACCGAAGGTGCACATTTTCAAATGACCTCTTTGGCAAGTAAACACGATCATTTTGCACATTTACGAACTGCTAGCCAACGAATATTTTCTCATCGGAGAAAACCAAATTCGGCAGTTCACCACTTTCGGCCAAGCAAAGGAACTCTTTAGCTTCTTTGAGCCTATTTTCTTTCTGTTGCGGTGTAAGTTTTTGCACTTTTTGAAATTTCAAGGGCTTTACCCCGAGTTCATTATTCAATATTAGCCGAATGGAATGTTGCGATATGTTCAGCTCACGAACCATTTTTCGGTCACTGCGACACGGATTTCGATCAAGTCGCTTCTTTACTTTTCGAATCATTTCTGCTGATGTTGCTGTTTTCTTCCGTCCACTTCTTTGACGTCGGGCGACACTACCAGTATCCCGGTAACGAGCGATGGTACGAGACACAAAAGATTTATTCACATTTAAATGCGGGAGTGCTCTAACGATAGCCACTTGTGGTTTTCCAGCCAAATATAAAGAAATCAAGAAAACATCACGCTTGAATTCCAACACGAGTTACTTTTTTTCTGGAAAATTCTCACCAAATGCTTTTGAACGCTTGTAAACAATATAATGAGCTGTCACTGGAATAATTTTAACAGCTGTCGGACGAGTGGCTTAGAAATGACAGCAGTCTGAAGTTGGTTGCAGCGTTTTCATCTCATCCTGTATACACTTTGTGGGGTATAAAATGTATATTTCGAGATGACAATGACAAACTTAATATACCCTCCATACTGTGGTGGAGGGTATAATTATATACCCTCCATTCTATGGGGGAGGGTATAAAAATGTTCATGAAGCTCTGTTAACATTATCAGAGCTCGGCTTTGTTAAATGTGGAGTTTGTGCCTTTGCTAGATAAACTCTAAAATGTTGTCAACTGACCTAGTTTTCACTTGGATTGTCGTAAATAATATTCCCTTTCAAAGATTTTGGCGAACATATGGCGTATGTCATAAACTCAAAGAGCAACCCACAAGAGTACCACTCTACCCGCTCTAAACGAGCAAAGGATGCTCGAAAAATAGGTTTTTGCTTCCGCTCGAATTCGAGTAGAACCTTAAACCTGCTCTAATTCGAGCGGGAGAACCCCTGAAAGAAAAAAAATATATTTTTCGATGACACTGGAATAAGAGCGATCATGTTTGGCTCGCTTTAGAGCGGGAGTAAAACTTGCCCGAAATCGAGAAAAGCAACCCGCAAGAGTACCACTTTATCCACTCTAAACGTGCAAAGCTTGCTCGAAAAATAGGTTTTTCCTCCCGCTCGAATACGAATCTTAATCTTCAGCCTGCTGTAGTTTAAGCGCGAACACTCCTTAAAGTAGAAAAATATATTTTTCGATGACGCTTGAATTAGAGCGATTATGTTTGGTTCGCTTTAGAGCGGGAGTAAAACTCGCACTAAATCGAGAAGATTCTATTCTTGTCTGTTATTCTTTTAGTTTCTGACATGGGGTTTCCAACGAGTGTATGTGTGTCCTGATGCTAATTTCTATATCCTGTTTATAAATATACATGTCATTCAGTTTATAAATAATTTTCCCCCATTTCTCTTTCACAGCTTGTAACTGCAACGGCTATGCCGACAAATGTTTCTTTGACGCCCATCTTTTCAATTTGACCGGTCATGGTGGTCATTGTTTGGATTGTCGTGAAAATCGTGATGGTGCCAATTGCGAACGTTGTAAGGAAAACTTCTACATGCGTGAGGATAACTATTGTATTCACTGTGGTTGTGATCCAGTCGGTTCCCGATCGCTGCAATGTAATAGCCAAGGCAAATGCCAGTGTAAACCTGGTGTTACTGGCGACAAATGCGATCGTTGCGATGACAACTATTATCAATTTAGTGCTCATGGTTGCCAGCCATGCGGTTGTGATCCACGTGGCTCACTTGATAATAAGCCCTCATGTGACCCGAAAACAGGTGTTTGCAATTGCAAGGATAATGTGGAAGGAAAACGTTGTAATGAGTAAGTTGCAATTCGCTTGAAGAAAATAGAGCTTAGCTAATGATGTTTACGTTCATTTCAGATGTAAACCCGGCTTCTTCAATCTGGATTTGAGTAATCGTTTCGGTTGTACACCATGTTTCTGTTACGGTCACACGTCGGAGTGTCAAACAGCTCCTGGCTACTCCATTGTTTCGACCACCTCCAATTTCAACAAACACAAGGAGCGTTGGGGTGCCGTCGACTTGTACAACCATGATGTGGACATCAAATACAATCAGTATAGCCACAGCATTGGCACCACTGCCCATGGCAATGACTATGTTTACTTTTTGGCGCCCGATCGTTTCTTGGGAGACCAGAGAGCATCGTATAATCGTGATTTGAAATTTAAGTTGCAGTTGGTGGCCCAAATTGCACCGGATGCCAGTGCCAGTGATGTGATATTGGAGGGTGGCGGTACAAAGATTTCCTTACCCATATTTGCCCAAAACAATGGCATGCCAGATCAAACTAGCAAGGAGTTTGTTTTCCGTCTCAATGAGCATCGTGACTATCAGTGGCAACCGAGTCAATCGTCCCGTGGCTTCCTTTCGATTCTTTCAAACTTGACTGCCATTAAAATTCGTGCCACCTACTCCAAACAGGGTGAGGCCATTCTCGACGATGTTGAATTGCAAACAGCTCATCGTGGCGCCGCTGGCCAGCCTGCCACATGGATTGAACAATGTACTTGCCCCGAGGGTTATTTGGGTCAATTCTGTGAATCTTGTGCCCCTGGATATCGCCACAGTCCAGCTAGAGGTGGTCCATTCATGCCTTGTATTCCTTGTGACTGTAATGGCCATGCGGATATTTGTGACTCCGAGACAGGCCGTTGTATTTGTCAACACAACACCACCGGAGATAACTGTGACCAGTGTGCCAAGGGTTATTATGGCAATGCTCTGGGCGGTACCAAATACGATTGTAAACGTTGCCCATGTCCCAACGATGGAGCTTGCATGCAAATTAGTGGAGATACTGTCATATGTACCGAGTGCCCGGTGGGCTACTTTGGCGCCCGATGTGAACAATGTTCCGATGGCTTCTATGGTGATCCGACCGGCCTGAGCGGAGTTGTTCAAACCTGTAAGTCTTGTGACTGTAACGGCAATGTAGATCCCAATGCTGTTGGTAATTGTAATCGCACCACTGGTGAATGTCTCAAGTGTATCCACAACACCGCCGGCAAGTACTGTGACAAATGTTTGCCCGGTCATTTCGGTGACCCCTTGGCCTTGCCACATGGTAAATGTGATCGTTGTAGCTGCTACCTTCCTGGCACCGAACAGAACCAAGATGGCATATCCCAATGTGATCAGGTCACCGGCCAGTGTCAGTGTAAACCCAATGTGATTGGTCGTGATTGCGGTGAATGTCAGCCAGGCTTCTTTAACATCAAGTCCGGCAATGGTTGTGAGAACTGTATGTGTGATCCTGTGGGTAGCTATAACTCCACTTGCGATCGTGTTACGGGCCAGTGTTTCTGCAAACCCGGTGTTGTGGGTCTACACTGTGATCAATGTGCCGTCTATCACTACGGATTCTCCTCGGAAGGTTGCAAGCCATGTGAGTGTGATGAGAGCGGTTCAAAGGGCTTCCAATGCGACCAGAATGGCCAGTGTCCCTGTAACGACAATGTTGAGGGTAGACGCTGCGATCGTTGTAAGGAGAACAAATACAATCGCCACTTGGGCTGCATTGATTGTCCCGATTGTTATAACCTGGTGCAAGATGCTGCCAACGAGCACCGCGCCAAGCTAGCCAATCTCAGTTCGACTTTGGATGAAATTGCCCGCACACCTGTGACCAATGACGGTGAGTTCGAAGGCAAATTGAAGGCTGTACAAGAAAAAGTTGACATCCTGCTGATGGATGCCAAGTATGGCGTGGGCGAGGGTGGTCGCACGTATGTCGAAGTTTTGGATGATTTGCGCAGTCGTTTGGAAAGTGTCAACTCACATTTAGATAATGCCGATGCTCTGCAAGATGCTGCCAACATTGAAATCAACAAGGCCAAGCAGAATCATACCAACGTCCAGGACATTATTGAAGCTGCCAAGAGTGATTTGAAGAACGCTCTAAATCTGCTCAATGATGATGGTGCTCAGGCCTTGGCCAAGGCTCGAAATAAATCGGTTGAGTTTGGTGTTCAATCTAATCAAATTTCGGAAATTTCACGCGAGGCTCGTGGTTTGGCTGACCGTTTGGAATCCGAGGCACAATTCGATTTGAAGAATGCCAAGGATGCAAATGATGCTGTTGAAAAAGCCTACCTCCTGGCCAAGAATGCCATTGATTTGCAACAAAAGGTCAATGAAGAACTGAGAACCGATGTTCGTTTGGAATTGAATACCGTTAAACAGTCGTTGACCACCGCTGCTCAGACCACCAAAGAAGCTTTGCGCAAAGCCAACGAAGTTTACGATGCTGCATTGACGTTGCTAACCGATGTCAATGGTTTGGTGGCGCCCAACATCGACATAAAGAAACTCAAAGAGGAAGCATTGCAGGCCAATTTGTTGGCCGATGAACTTTTGCGTGAAGTCAATGATGTTTCCAATAGCAATGGTGATCTTTTCGGAAATTTGGAAGATGAGCTTGCACTCTCCGATATTATGTTGGAAAGGTAAGTGGCGGTGTGAATAGTTGTGGGTGGGAAATGGTTGTTAATTAGTTTGATTTACATTGAAGGGCTAACCAACAAAAGAGAGATGACATTGAATTGCTGAAGCGGGCCCAGGATGCTTTTGAAAAGGCCACCAAAGCTGTTGAGCAGGGTGATAATACACTAAAGGAGGCCAATAACACTTACAACACATTGGCTGGTAAGTATTGAGTAATTAGTGTGGGATTTATGGAACACCTATGACATATATTTGTATTTCTCACTTCAGGTTTCCAAGCTGATGTTGAAAGATCGGCTGCTAATGCCCAAATGGCTCTGAAAACGGTTGGCAGCATTGAACAGGAAATTCAAAAGGCTGATGACCTCATACGTCAGGCTGAAAATGCATTGGATGGCGCCAACAAAAATGCCAATGAAGCCAAAAAGAATGCCCAGGAAGCTCAGCAGAAGTTTGCCGAACAAGCTTCAAAGGTAAACGGAAAGAAAATTGGTTCATTTAAGACATCATAAAGTGGTCCATTTTATATAGCTCCATTCAACCAGTACCTCTGAATTTGCGTATTTTGAAGATTTCAGCCACATCTTTACTTTTGAGGATCTTCATAGAATCATTTTCTAAGTCGAATTATGCATGTCAGTCCGTCCGTCGGTCTGTCCACGTATTCTTGTGAACAAAATGTAGGTCGCATTGAGTTGAAATTATCCGACTGAGATTAAATTTTCCAAATAATATTTGTTTGGCCCAAGGACGAACCCTATTGAAATTGGCGAGGATCGGTTTAAATTTATATATAACTCCCACATATATCTTCAACTGATTTCGGGTTAATTTGGCACATCTGACCGAATTCAGTCTGAAAGCAAGTATATCCAATTTTTTGAAAATCGGTTAAGATATAGCTCGAGCTCCCACATGCATGTTTCATCCGATTTGGTGTTTAGGTCCCTCACATTCGTAATATGCATTCGATAACAATCATATTTGGTACCAGATATCATATACAGCCCAAAAATACCTCTGCTAAATTTCATCGAGATCGGCTAAGATTTGGATATAGCTCCCATATATATCTTCAACCGATTTCGGGTTAATTGTGCACCAAATGACCAATATCAGTCCAAATGAACTGAATTTTGGCACATCCGACCGAGTTCAGTCTAGAATCAAGTACATCAAATTTGAGCTTAGAGCTCCCATATATATGTTTCCTTCGATGTGGTATTTAAGTCCCTCACATCGGTGATATGCATTCAACAACAATGGTATTTGGTATCTGATATCTTATAGAGCTAGGAAATACCTTTGCCTAATTTGGCAGGTAGTAGAAATTTTGAAGAACCGCCTAAGACTAAGAGACATGTAGTAGTGGTCTAATGTAAGTGACGTCAAATGCTATAGAATGGTCAAGGAGTACAAGAAAACAGACCTGATTGTCATCAATGTCGCTCCTAATTGACTCTGAGATCTATATTATTAGCGTGGAAGACCAGCTATGTCCAGCTCTAAACCCTGATTAAACATCACTTAGTAACAATTCTCGTTGCAGATACTTCGATATTTGTTTCTGCAAGATTTTTTCAAACACTTTTGAGAAGTAACACAATATCGCTACAGGACGAAACTCAGCATTCGACTAGGGTACAGGAATAATCATTGCATGCTTCCAGAGTGCGGGATATGTACTAGAAGTAATAATAGAATTGAAAAATAAGTTATGTACGGAAATGGGCGATTCAAGATTGTACGAATAAACTTCGGATCCACTCCATCTGGACCAATGGCATTTTCAGTTTATTTGTCCAAAACATTTTATAACTTCGTCATGAGTAATTTTAACGAAATTTCGTATTTGAAGTTCATAATAGGTACTACAGCCTCTGACAGAAAATTGTCTATGCAAGTCCAGGTTTTCGTATAGCCCCGATATAGTGGTACCTCCCTATATTCGATATTTTGATGATTTTAGCTACAGTATTCACTGGATTTTTTTTCACAAGTTTCGTATTTGAATATTGTAATGGCTTTTGACAAAAATTGCCTATACAGATCCACGTCTTCGCATAGACCCCAATATAACGGCTATATTCGGTATTTTTAAGATTTTAATAGAATTTTTAACGAATTCAATTTTTTGATAATTTTTAAATACGTTCCAAATGGGGGAGGATAATTAAAGATCGGCCCGGCCGAATATACTGCTTTTTATACCATCCACCATACATGGCATGGAGGGTATATTAAGTTCGTCATACCGTTTGTAACTCATCGAAATTATAACTTTAGACCCAACAAAGTAAATTTCTAATTCTTGATCAGCGTAAAATTCTAAGACCATTTAGCCCTGTCCGTCCGTATGTTGTAATCACGCTAGAGTCAAAACGAATAAAGATAGCATGGTAAAATTTTGCACCGATCTGTCTTTAGTCTGCAGGCAGGTCGATTTCGAAGATGGACTATATCGATACCTCCCGATATTCTGTATTTTGATGATTTTAGTCACATTTTCCAATGAAATAGTCTGAAAATCCGCACAAGGAGTTCCTTCTGAGTACTTTACCGCCTGGAAGAGAATTGTCTATATGGATCTACGTTTTAGTATAGCACCCATATAACGCTACCCCGAGATATTAAGTATTTCCGGAATTGCTTCAAATTTCGAATTTGAAGTTCGTAATGGGTACTACAACCTATGACGGAAAATTGTCTATGCAGGTCTACGTCTTAGTATAGCCCCCATTCGAGGTATACCTCCCTTTCTTCGGTATTTTGATGATATTAGCGACATTATTAACCGGAAATGCGTCAAATTTCGTATTTGAAGTTCGGAATCGTTACTACCGTCCGTCCGTCTGTTGTAATCACGCTACAGTCTAAACGAATTAAGATAGGAAGCTAACATTTTGCACAGATCTCTCTTTTGTCTGTTCGAAGATGGGCTATATCGGTCCACGATATCGTATAGCCCCCATATAACGGTACCCTCCGATATTCGGTATTTTGAAGATGTTAGCCACATTTTTCAATGGAATTGTCTGAAAATTCACACAAGTAGTTCCTTGTGAATACTTTACCCCTGAGAGAGAGTTGTCTATATAGGTCCACGATATCGTACATCCCCCATGTAACGGTACCCCCGATATTCGGTATTTTGATAACATTACCCACATTTTTCAACGGAATTGTCTGAAAATCCACACAAGGAGTTCCATGTGGTCACTTTATACCTCAGCACAGAATTATCTATATAGGTCCACGATATCGTATATCCCCCATATCCCATATTCGTTCCAAATGGTGGAGGATATTTAAAGTTCGACCCTGCCGAACTTTACTTCTTTTTTACTTGTTACTTGTTTCATTTAGTAAAAAAATATCTTCGTTCTAGGATGCCGAATTTATACGACGACGTGCCAACGAAACTAAAGTAAATGCCCGCAAACTGAGAGATGAAGCCGATCAATTGAATCATCGTGTCAAAATTACCGAAACCGACATTGCCAGATTGGAAGAGTCATCCAGCAAGGATGATAATTTGGTAGATGATGCCAAACGAAAGGTAAACTTGAATGAAAACAGATGCAAATGGAGATGATAAAAAGAATTTGTTGTTTCATTTAGGTGGGTCAAGCTAAGGCCGACACAGAAGAAGCCAAAAAACAAATTAACAAAGCTGTCAAGGAATTGGATGATATCAAGGATGAGTTGATTAATTTGAAGGATATCAACACAGCTGATTTAGATCAATTAGGTATGTTTATCACAAAGTATTTGAATAATTTTAAAGAACTTAAATTTGTTATTTTAATTTTTTTTATTTAGAAAAACGTTTGGATGCCGTTGAAGCCGAAGTGGCCCGGGCCAATTTAACGGGACGTATTGAGAAATTCCGTGAAATGCGTAACATTCAAAAGAAATCGATTGATAAATACGAAAAAGAAATGCAGGAATTGGTAGCCGAAGTAACGAATGTCCGTTTGATATCTGAGGCATTGCCTGCCGAGTGCTTCTCAAGAAGTCGATTGGAACCATAAATCTAGCTATTATATTACATTTCTAACAGCCACACCATAAAACAAAAACTACAGAACAAACCATCATTTTTTTTTATACTATCATAGTTTACAAAATAATTTAGTTAAAGAAATCTTAATTAAGCTTTATTAAGAAATAGTAATGATTGTCTTGCATTTTGTCTTTATCAAATTTGATTTAAATAGTTTTCCCATTTCAATGGCCAGTTGCTGTAGGGAATATAACAACTACAATCAAGAAATCTAGTGCCTTAGAAACTCTTCTGCCACAATTGGTTGCTGGTCAAATATAATTTCAGTACCTCCTTTTTTCATTTGAGCATTTGACAATGTATTCGTTTCAAAACCTATAGTAATATTTATGTATGTGTGTATTAAATGTCGAAAGGATACTTACACAGTTTATTCGAATATGTATGTTTTCCACCTTTCCTCTATCGATTTTGTGTCTATCGAAATGTTCTTATATGGCATACAAAAAAAACGCAAAATATCCTTTTTTATAACAAGTATCATTTCACATTATAATGTACAAGGATGTGCCAATATTATTCGTATATATTTCCAAATATTTTATTTTGCCAATTAAAATGCATGAGGAAATTGTTAGTTAAACATTTAAGGATTTTTTAATAAAATTGATGTATTTTATAAAACAAAAAAGAAAATACTTTTATTTTCAACCGTAATGGATAAAGGAAGTAAGTTTGTATTAGGAATTTTTTAGGGCTTAACATGGTTGCATAAAAAACATTTTTTTCTTTATTTTTGGCCATAACTCCTTATTCTTGAGTTATTCGCATTATAATGTATTTTAAATCTTCGGCTTAAACCCTACAACACTATATAAGTTTAATTGGGCCAACAATTATGCAACACCTCGAAATAATGGTTTCCGACACGGGAAACTATATCTTCCTATCTCGCCGTGCTGAGTCTATCTAGATATGTATGCCCGTCCGTCCGTCTGTCCATGTTTATATGTAATCACGCTACAGGTCGCAATTGTGTCCCGATCCCCACGAAATTGAAAATGAAGGTGGGGTTAGGGTCAGAATAGAACCCTATTGTTTTTGGAGATAATCGCACAATATTTAGGTGTAGAAATGGGCCAAAAACTGATTTTGCAGTTGCTCTATAGGCCACAATTACGAATCAATCGACGCGGAAATTTGCATGGAGTAAGAGTAGGGCTGGGCCGAAGCTTATCAATGGTAAGCTTGAATGGTAATCACACAATATTTAGAGGGTAAAATAACCCATAACTTTTATGTCAACAAAATACGCAAATTTCCACTAAACCGCGGATATCTTTAATCCCGGTCAAATCCAAAATACATTAAAAAGTAATTTGTGTGTGGTAATTGTGTGATGCTAATAGCCAAGATATCGGATATGTAGCAAAATAGGTACAATATACAAGGTGAGATGAAAAAACAAACTTCAACAAAGTCAAACGCCATAATTTTTCCATTTCTTTTAAATTTATTTGAATGAAAGCAAACAATATCGGAAATAGCATCAAATTTTAGAATAAGTTTGGATTTGCTCGAATTGGTCTCCTTTGGCACGAATTATGGCCTTCAAACGGCCAATGAAACCGTCAGACGCTGCCCGATTGTTACTCTGCGGTATTTTGACCCATTCCCGGCGAAGCGCTTGCTTGAGGTGATCGACACTTTGATATTTTTTAGTGGAAACCTTGCATACCAAAATACTCCAGACACAATACTCCGACGGATTGGTATCCGGTGATTTTGGTGGCCATTGTGCGCTGGAAATGAAGCGAGGAACCTCATTTGGTAACCATTTTTGTGTGGCGCGTGCTGAGTGCGATGGTGCTGAGTCCTGTTGAAAAGTCCAACGTCTGCGGCCAAAATGTTTGCGTGCCCAAGGCTTTAATACACCCTCCAGAATATTTTCGCGATAATATTCGGCATTTATTCTGATGCCACGGTCGATTAATACGAGCGGAGAGCGACCATCGGCTGTTATGGCGGCCCACACCATCACCATGACCGGCGCTTGAGTTCTGGTGGCCAACCGAAGGTGCATATTTTCAGCTGACCTCTTTGGCAAATACACACAATCATTTTGTTTTTTTACAAACTGCTGGACAACGAATGTTTTCTCATCGAAGAAAACCAAATTCGGCAGTTCACCACTTTCGGCAAAGCGAAGTAACTCTTTACCTCTTTTGAGTCTATTTTCTTTCCGTTGCTGTGTAAGTTCTTGCACTTTTTGGAATTTTAATGGCTTTACCCCGAGCTCATTTTTCAATATTTGCCGAATGGAATATTGCGTTATCTACCAGCTCACTAGCCATTTTTCGGCCACTGCGACGCGGGTTTCGATCAAGTCGCTTCTTTACTTTTCGAATCATTTCTGCTGATGTTGCGGTTTTCTTCCGTCCACTTAACGAGGGATGGTACGAGACACAAAAGATTTATTCGCATTTAAATGCTGGACTGCTCTAACGATAGCCACTTGTGGTTTTCCAGCCAAATATAAAGAAATCACGCTTGCATTCTATCACGAATAACCTTGTTTGCTGGAAAATGCTCACCAAAATACTTTTGTACGCTTGTAAACAATATAATGAGCTATCACTGGAATAATTTTAACAGCTGTCGGACGAGTGGCTTAGAAATGACAGCAGTCTGAAATTGGTTGCAGTTTTTTCATCTCACCCTGCATTTGTTTGTAACATGCAATAGGAAACAAAATAGTACCGTAGTTTCTTTTCACAATCTTCATAGAATCTAATTCAGAATCAATTTATGCATATCCGTCCGTCCGTCTCTCCATGCATTTTTGTAAGCAAAGCAAATAGGTCGCATTTATTGTCTGATTGCGATGATATTGTCCCGAAATAATTTTTTTTATCCCAAGGACAACCCCTATCGGAATTGGTGATAATCGGATCAGATTTGGATATAGCTCCCATATGTAATGTGTTCAGATTTAATAAGTATTGTGCACCGAATCCAATGAATTTTAGCATACACTACCAGGTTCTGTCCATAAGTATGTCTGGCGAGTTTTGGGTTGTCGGTTCAGATAAAGATATAGCTTTCATATATATTTTCTTTCGATTTCAATGTTATTGTGCGTCATATGTTTAATATTCGTTTAAATGGAATGAATTTCTGCCGACCTAATTCAGACGAGAAACAAATGTATACAATTTGGTGAAAATCGGTTCAGACATGGCTATAGCTCATATATATATGTTTCATCCGATTCGGTGTTTAAGTCTCCTAAATTCGCAATATACAGCTACCAGATACAGCTCAGAAATACTTCTGCCAAATTTTATCAAGATTGGTTCAGAATTGGATACAGCTCCCATATATATCTTCGTTTGTATATTGTTCGCCAAATGTGTAATATTAGGCCAAATGGGTTGAATTTTTACAGGGACTACCAAATTTAGTCTAGAATTAAGTGTGTGTTAAATTTCAGTTCAGATATGGCTTTAGCTTCCATATATATGTTTCATCGGATTTTATATCTAAGTCACCAAAATCTCTAAAATACACTCCATAACAAGGATTTCCGGTACAAGATATTGGGTACATCCCAAAAATACCTCTTCCAAATTTTGTCGAGATCGGTTCAGATTTGAATATGTCACCCATATAATTTGATGTAAATAATATATCAAGGACGCTGTTTTTGATCAAACTACTTTTTTTTATTGTATTTTTCGCGTGGACCTATAAAGACAATTTGGACGCCAAAAACATAATTTACTAGCTGGCCCGGTCCGCGTTGCCGGCCCCTACTTTTAGTCTATAATGCATATTTTTTTAAGCATTATAGAATTATGAAAGCGGCACAATTTTTATTATAAGTAAAATAACTCCATAGTAATTTCTAAATAGAAATAAACATTCATGGGAAAAATTATAATAGATAATAATCTACCGTCGGTTTTAGATATTTTGAATAGCCTGATCTTATTTTTCAGCCTAAGGCTATAATTGAGTGTTAAAAACCTGTATGATATAGAACTTCTATAATAGCCCCATGTGAAAACTCAGCTAAATTTTTGGTATTGAATTTCCAATGTTAAGAATACCGTGATGCGTGGTATTTAGTTTTGTCCACCTCATAATTGAGGGCGGAATGATTTCAAAATAGTCAAAGATAATTGCTTTTTTACACCCATTACCGTGAAATATTAATTAATTTATTTTTGTCATTTAAATTGTGAGTTGGAGAACCCATAAAGTCCATATTTTTCATCATAGTATAATTCAATAACGAACAAAAAAATTAATATTCGTGATTTTTTAATGTTTCTGCCACAATTTGATATTTCGGAGTTTATGGCATGTAGATGTTAATCCCACATCTACGTTCCCAACCAATATTCTCTTTGGAGTTTCAAATTCAATAGTATATCAAATTTTCTTTTCTGACCAAACATTGGTTAGGAAAGCGGATTTGTGGGTACACTAATGTGAGAACTATATTCGAATAAATGCCTATGTGGACAATTATCTGAGGGACGATTCTCTACCCCAGAGTTGCCTAAATACAATTTTTTAGCCAAATCAATTGATGAATGTGGTCAAGACCAAGATGGACTCTACTCCGAAAATTGAAAATGTTATGAGAAGAGGTTTTTACACCCTTAGAAACAAAGATGCCAAATAAAGGCCTAAAGATGAAAAAAATGTCGAAGACCCCGAACATGGCTTAAATTATATGATGGTTATACCAAAACATGATCATATTTTGCGAGGATGGTTTCTTATCAAATTAAAATGAGTGTAAGAAAAATGTGGTTAAAATGTAAACAATACTTGAAATAGGGTTGTACCCTTATCCGGGGGTCATATATCATGACCTGCAAAAGCGATTTAAGACATCTTGAAAGTTTAGGAAGAATTTCTTTCTTTTTTCCTAAATGTCCAATTCGCTCTACCATTTTGCACCCTTTATATTCGGTATTTCACTGACTGCAGTTCCAATGAATTGCATTTTGAGTTCTCATTGGGCGGATTATTGCCATATGAAAGATGTAGGTCCACGTAGGTCACTCATTTTATTTTAAATATTATTCATTCAGATTTCAAGGCAATAAAAAATGTTCACTTCAATATAGTATGTCAAATTGAAAAAAATCACACCAAAAAGAAATTTATTATTAATATTTTTATTGGATACCATTCCAAAATTGTATGAATTGTCAAGCCGTTCTTTAGTTATACCTTATGTAATTTTTCCCCGATTTGAGAATTTTTGCAATGAGATCTCTTTTTTCAAGATTTTTAGAAATTTTGACTTAAATTTGGTGTGACCGCGTTAAATTATTTCGATAACATCTATTTCGTTTCGCCACCACATAATTTGGTACTACACTTCAATGTAACCCGGCTTCTATTTCAGTTCTCAAGAAATCGAGTCAAAATAAATTGGTATTAATATTCGAATCAAAAAGAAAAAAAAAATATTATAAACACTACAAATGTACATTCGAAAAAAGTAAGTCAAAATGAAAAAAAAACATACAAAATAAAACATTACGATTGTACATTTCAGAAGTCAAAATGAAAATGTTAATATATCACATTTTTACGCGAATATTATCCTTTTCGGAAAAGAGACAATTCAGAATTTGTATGAATCGTTAAAATCAGATCAGCGGTTCTTGAGTTATAAGCGTAGTAACTAACACAACTTACATTTATATATATAGATAATATTTATTTATAAGTTGGTAGCCATGTAACGGATATGTTTGCTGGGTCATATCGTCAAAATACCGAATCTGTATAGATAATTTGCAGACAGTGAAGGCGGTATCTATTGCAGACTCAAAATACCAACTCTAAACCAGTAAGGAAAGCTCAAAAGTCGGGCGGGGCCGACTATATGATACCCTACACCACTATGCATATTTAGTAGAGCTCTCGTAAAAAGGTTTATACAGAGCATTTCCGAGCTCTATGAGATATTTGGTACAAAATCAAAATCTATCTAATTCTATCGTGCATTTTACGAACTATAGCTATATCTGAACCGATTTTCACCAAGTTTGATGTATTTGATTCTAGGCTGAATCCGGTCAGATTTGCCAAAACCCAGGACATTTGGGCTGATATTGGACATTTGGTGCGCAATCAACACGAAATTGGATGAAGATATATATAGGAGGTATATCCAAATCTGAACCGATATTTGTAAAACTGAAAAAGAAGATATTTCTTGGCTGCATCTGATACCAAATATTATTCTTGTATCCTACATTTTTCGAATTTGAGGGACTTAAAGTACAAATCGGATGAAAGGTATATATAGGAGCTATAGCTGTATCCGACCGATTTTCACTCAATTTGATGTACCAATATTAGCCATTTGCTGCACATTTAATTCGAAATCGGATGAAGATATATTTGGGAGCTATAGCTATATCTGAAACGACTTTTACTAAAATTGGTGTCCTTGCTTCTAGGCTGAATTTGGCCAGATATGCCAAAGTTCATGCCATTTCGGTTGATATTGGCCATTTGTTGCACAATTAACTCGAAATCGAATAAAGATACATATGGGTGCTATATCCAAATCTGAACAGATTTTGAGAAAATTAAAAGCAACTACTTTTGGGCTTTATCTGATATCTGGTACCAAATATCATTCCTGTGAAGAGTATGCTATGCTATACTATATCCAAATCTGAACAGCTTTTTATAAAATCAAAATCGACTATTTGCTTATAGGCTGGTTTCGCTCGGATTTGCCAAAATTCATGCCATTTGGGCTGATATTGGCCATTTGATGATATATATGGGAGGCATATCCAAATCGGAACAGATTTTAATAAAATTATTAAAATTAAAATCAACTATTTTTGGGCTTTATCTGATAACTGGTACCAAATATCATTTCTGTGGAGTGCATATTACGAATGTGAGGGATTTAAAGGCGAAATCGGATGAAACATATATATGGGAGCTATAGCTATATCTCAACCGATTTTTACCAAAATTGGTGTACTTGCTTCTAAGCTGGTTTCGGTCGGATTTGCCAAAATTGATGCTTTTACGGCCATTTGGTGGTCAATAACCCGAAATCGGATGAAGATATATATGGGAGCTATATCCAAATCTGAACCGATTTCGATAAAATTTAAAACAGCTATTCCTGTGCTCCATCTAATACCTGGTACCAAATATCACGTTTGTGGAGTGAACATTACGAATGTAAGGGACTAAAACACTAAATCGGATGAAACATATATATGGTTGCTATATCTATATCTGAACCGATTTTCACTAAATTTGATATACTTGCTTCTAGGCTGAATTTGGTCCGATGTACTAAAATTCAGTCCATTTGGACTTATATCGGCCATTTGGAGCACAATTAACCCGAAATCGGATGAAGATATATATGGGAGCTATATCCAAATCTGAACCGATTTCGATACAATTACAAACAGCTATTTCTGGGCTGTACCTTATATCTGGTACCAAATATCACGGTTGTGGAGTGAACATTACGAATGTAAGGGACTAAAACACTAAATCGGATGAAACATATATATGCTTGCTATATCTATATCTGAACCGATTTTCACTAAATTTGATATACTTGCTTCTAGGCTGAATTTGGTCCGATGTACTAAAATTCAGTCCATTTGGGCTTATATCGGCCATTTGGAGCACAATTAACCCGAAATCGGATAAAGATATATATGGGAGCTATATCCAAATCTGAACCGATTTTCTCCAAATTTGTTGTATTTACTTTAAGGCTAATCTCGGTCACATGTGCCAAAATTCGGGCCATTTGGGCTGATATTAGCCATTTGGTGGTCAATTAACCCGAAATCGGATGAAGATATATATGGGAGCTATATCCAAATCTGAACCGATTTCGATAAAATTTAAAACAGCTATTTCTGTGCTCCATCTAATACCTCGTACCAAATATCACGGTTGTGGAGTGCATAGTAGGAATGTGAGGGACTTAAAGATCAAATCGGATGAAAGATATATATGGGAGCTTTAGGTATATCTGAACCGATTTTCTCCAAATTTGATATACTTGCTTCTAGGCCGAACCCGGTTGGGTGTGCCAAAATTCAGGTAATTTGGACTGATAGTGGACATTTGGTGCCCATTTAACCCGAAATCGGATGAAGATATATATGGGAGCTATATCTAAATTTGATCCGATTCTTACCAATTTCAATAGGGTTCGTCCTTGGGCCAAAAAAATATTGTTTGGAAAATTTCATCTCAATCGGATTATAAATGCGACCTGCATTTTGTTCACAAGAATACATGGACAGACGGACGGACGGACGGACGGACGGACGGACGGACGGACGGACGGACGGACAGACGGACGGACATGCATAAATCAACTCAGAAAGTGATTCTATGAAGGTTCTCAAAAGTAACTATGGGTCTATCTCGTTTCCTTCTCCATGTTACAAACAAATGCACAAAGACATAATACCCTTACCACTATGTGGTGTAGGGTATAAAAAACCGGGTATCACTATATGTGCAAAAACTTGGCCACAAGAATTTGTCTATCCCACTGGCCGTTTTACAGAAAATTGAAAATATGTCAAAATACTATAAATACATTTAATCGGTTTGTCCCGTATCATTTTCAATACCAAAAATTCTGCGGACCTAAAATACATTTCAGTATATTTTTTTTAACCACTTCACACCGTTCGGAAGCTAAAGTGATTTCCACAGATAAAATTGTATGCTGCTTAAGAAAAAAATGCCATTCAAGTTAGTTTCTTTATGAATCTTTATTCAATTTTCTAATTAACAGTGCATAAGTACAGTTTATTAAACAATTAATCGATTTTTAAAAAGTACGTGGATAGAGTAGAATCCTTTCTAAATTATATTTTGTTTTACATGCAATTTCGCAGAAATAGGAAATACGATACACTGGAACGGGTTATCTGAAATTAAATTTCGTTACAAGTTATTATCATTTTGTATTTGGTGCCGTAACATAACAACCCATAAGTTTATTTCAAAAATTTCAAAAATAATGGGAGCTATGTCCGATCAATGCTTATATAAGAGCTACATTAATTTAAGGTTTTAAATGTTTTAACACAATTTTACTCACCGTTAAAAGTGTTTCCAAGGACATTCGGCTAAAGCCACCAACATCCATTCTTATATTTTGATTAGTTCTCATAATCATGATCTGTATCATGAATTTAAAATTTCGATTTTCATCGAACCACAAACTGCTGTAAATTGCTTGGGGCAAACGTTCACTCTGAAAATAAATGGAAAATATTTATGAGGCGTATACCAATAAGATTTAAATTCTCCTTGTTAAAGTAATTTTAAGTTGTCGGAAGGAAGCCGATCGAACAAAATTCAAATTTAAATACCTCTGAAGTAATACGCTGGCCATTCAGGCAAAATATTAGCAATTCATAAAAGGCTGCCAAGAGATAGAGACAAACTTTAATAGAACCCGAAATGTCCTTACCCTGTAAGAGAAGTACATTAGGTCTTACTTATTGGGGCTTATACACCAGGTATCTTACCAAATCGACACTGGCTTTAAAGGTTAACAAGCAAATTAATAGACAGCAAGAAATAAATAGTCCCAGAGATGGCTTTTGATACACTCTGTTTAATCGACTGCAGAAACTGGAATTGAAATAAACAAAAACATGTAAGCAAAGGCAATAGTCGTGCGGGGCCGACCATTTGATTCCCTACAACACTACATTATGTTGGGAGCTCCCTTATATTCAAATCCATTTTAAAGATTTCGTTTTTGAAATGATGCCATAGAGCACTGCGGGTTAAAAAATATTCGAGATCTAGCGTAAATTTTCGAATTTTTAACATAAAAATTATGGTTTATTTTACCCGCTCAATATTGTCCGATAATCTTACAAATTGATAGGCTCCTGCCCAGCCCTGAACTCTAACTCCATGCAATTTCCGCGTCGATTGGTTCATAATTGTGGCCTGAAGAGCAACAGCAAAATCAAGGAATTTGTCTGTTTTTGGCCCATTTCAATCCCTAAATATTTTGCTATCATCTCCAAATATGCTTCTATCTTGACCCCAACTTCACCTCCATTTAAATTTGGTAAGGATCGAACCATAAATTAAACACTCCAGCATTTAAATGTGAATAAATCTTTTGTGTATCGAACCATCGCTCGTTACCGTGATATTGGTAGCGTAGCCCGACGTCAAGAAAGTGGACGGAAGAAAACAGCAACATTAGCAGAAATGGTTCGAAAAGTAAAGAAGCGACTTGATCGAAACCCGCGTCACGGTGCCCAAAAAAAGCACGTGCTGAACATATCGCAATATTCCATTCGGCAATTATTGAAAAATGAGCTCGGGGTGAAGCCATTGAAATTCCAAAAAGTGCAAAAACTTACACCGCAACAGAAAGAAAATAGACTCAAAAGAGCTAAAGAGTTGCTTCGCTTGGACGAAAGTGGTGAACTGCCGAATTTGGTTTTCTACGATGAGAGAACATTCGTTGTCCAGCAGTTTGTAAACAAACAAAATGATCGTGTTTACTTGCCAAAGAGGTGGCCAGCTTCGGTTGGCCACCAGAAATCAAGCGCCGGCCATGGTAATGGTGTGGGCCGCCATAACAGCCGATGGTCGCTCTCCGCTCGTATTTATCGAACGTGACATCAGAATAAATGCTGAATATTATCGCGAAAATATTCTGGTGGGCGTATTAAAGCCTTGGGCACGCAAACATTTCAGCACCCGCCACCCAAGAATGGTTTCAAATTGAGGCTCCTCGCTTCATTTCCAGCGCACAATGGCCACCAATAGCTCCGGATACCAATCCGTTGGACTATTGTGTCTGGAGTAGTTTTGAAAACAAGTTTGGCACTAAAAAATACCAAAGTGTCGATCACCTCAAGCAAGCGCTTCTCCAGGAATGGGCCAAAATACCGCAGAGCAACATTCGGGCAGCGTGTGAAAGTTTCATTGGCCGTTTGAAGGCCATAATTCGTGTCAAAGGTGACCAATTCGAACAAATCTAGACTTATTCTTAAATTTGATGCTATTTTCGACATTTTTTGTTTTCATTCAATAAAATTAAAGAAAAGTGTAAAAATTATGGCTTTTGACTTTGTTGCAGTTTTTTATCTCACCCTGTATGCCATTTGTTAACATGACTTATTTATGTACCTCAATAAGTTCTGATGCAATCGTACGCAGGCTTCCAAGTATTTGGTTCTATGTTGAGATGGCACATGTTCCGAAGTACTGTAAGTAATCAAAGTTCGCAAAACCCTCAACATTGTCAAACAATGTACCGAAATCACACTGAAGAGACCTGAACATGTAATCGATGCTGCAAAAGGATACACATTTGTAAAGTTATAATGTATATACCTGTATGCATACATATTGTTGTGAGGTAATGCTTACCAACTGTGGCCAAATATATTTGCATTGTCACAACAAAATATTCCAAATAGAAATGCCACAAAGAATTTACGTTGGAATACCAAACGGGAAAAGAAGCGGGAAATGCTAGAAATAAATAAATTCAAATAGTAGTGGCAGAAATGTGGCTCCTAAACATCTTTATAGGTATATTCCTTACGAAACTCCAGTTTTTCTTTGTCATTCTCATCGCTTATGTACAAGTAGTAAATATTTGACACTAGACTGTGGCCGGTATACCAACTGCAAATGCCAAACACCGTGAAGCGGAGTAGCAACAACTGTCTCTTGATATCAATCCAGGATTCGTTAAGTATTTGAGTTATGTCGTTAATAATATTTGCGCTGTCAATCAATTCTGAAAGTATGAAAAATATATGTAGGGGAATAATTGACATTAAATTAACAAGTAAACAAGTTAAAACGCAGTAAGTTGAATACCCTCCATAATTTGGAACGAATTTGGAAATTTTCAAAAAATAAAATCCTTAAATAATTCTGTTAAAATTTAAAAAATACCGAATATAGACGTTATATTGGGGTCTATATGATAACGTGAACCTACATGACCCATTTACAAACTTAACCTGCCTACTGGAAAAATAAAGATGTGTGCAAAATTTTAGCCATCTATCTCCATTCATTCGAAAGATAGCGTGATTACAACAGACGGACAGACAGACAGACGGGAATCGCTAAACTTAGAATTTTACGCTGATCAAAAATATATACTTTGTTGGGTCTGACATGAGTATTTCGAGGAGTTACAAACGGAATGACAAAGTTAATATACCGTCCATAGTATGGTGGAGAGTATAAAAAGCAGCTAAGTTCGGCCGGGTCGAACTTTTAATACCCTCCACCATTTGGAAGGAACTTGAACAATTTCAACAAATTCCGAAATATTTTTTAAATACGATTTTAAAATACGATATTTAGAACAATTCCGGCGAATAATGTCAATAAAATCATCAAAATACGGAATATCGGCAGATGCCGTTAAATGGGGCTATACGAAAACGTGCACCGAAATGCCCCATTTACGAACGTAACCTGTCTACTGGCACAATACACTGTGTGCAAAATTTTAGCCTTCTCTCTCAATTCGTTCGAAAGATAGCGTAATTACAACAGTCAGAGAGACACACACAGACGGATATCGCTAAATCGTCTTAGAATAATACGCTGCTCAAGAATACATGTACTTTATAGGGTCTATCAAGAATATTTCGAGGAGATACAAACGAAATGATAAAGATAATATCCCCTCCAAAGAATGGTGAATGGTGATTTATTGTGCTATAAATAATTATTAAATTAATTATTAATGCAGATGCGATATCTGGTTTTTTTATACCCATCAGCCATAAGGCTAGAGAGGGTATATATCATTTGATACGGCCAAAACGTGCCTCTCTGAAATAAAAGTTTTAGACCGTAGGTCTCTTTGGACATTGCAAATCGTTATATGTATCAGTGTTAGGTCAGGTGCGAAAATGGACGATGTCGATCCACCTCATCAAGTACCTCCCCAACAAATGGTCAACATTTGAAATAATTATAACTCTGATAAGATGTGATGTAAAAGTCCCATTGTCTTCAAATTTCACACATCCTAATACTTGTATCAACCCAAGATCTGGTATTAAGACGGAACATATCGGTCCACTCCTTTATGGAACCTCCCCCTCATATAACGCGAAATTAACATCCGATTCTATTCAGACTTGGTCCATCTCAATATTTCTATCATCACAAGATCTGCTATAAAGATGATAGAGATCAGACCATTCCTTCTGGTACCTCCCCCACAAAGGTCCACAGTTTTGAATAACCAAAACAGTCATAAAATCCGAAATAAGCATCCGGCTGTCCTCATATTTCACACATCCCATTATTTCTACTAACACAAGATTCGCTGTGATGATGTGATACCTTCTCTACAAAGGGTCAACATTTTGAGTATCCATGAAGCTCAAAAAGCGCGAAATGAACATCCAATTCAATTCAGACTTGGTACATCTCAAAATTTCCATCAACACAAGATCTATTATAAGGATGGTAGAGATCAGACTATTTCTTCTGGTACCTCCCCCACAAAGGGTTCAAAATTTTAACAAAACTAAACGCTGAAAGTAAGTATCCAACTCCTAAGCATCTGACTCTCTCAAATTTCACACAAACAAACATTTTTGCTAACACTAGATCTGTTGTGAATATCTGCAAGCCCCTTCTGATATCTCTCCACAAAGGATCACCATACTTATATCTATCATAACTTGCGAAATATGTCAGCGATTCCTTACAACTTGATTTATTCTGAATATTTCTCTCAACAAGAAACTTGACATGAATATGGTATTTATTATTTTGCATAAAATTGGATTTACAGGGCGAGATAAAAAAACTGCAACAAAGTCAAATGCCATAATTTTTACATTTTTTTTAATTTTATTGAATGAAAGCAAACATGTCGGAAATAGCATCACATTTTTGAATAAGTTTCGATTGGTTCGAATTGTTCGCCTTCGGTACGAATTATGGGCTTCAAACGGAAAATGAAACCGTCACACGCTGCCCGAATGTTGCTCTGCGCTATTTGGGCCCATTCCCGGCGAAGCACTTGCTTGACGTGATCGACACATCGGTATTTTTCAGTGCCAACCTTGCTTTCTAAAATACTCCAGACACAATAGCACTGGAAATGAAGCGATGAACTTTCTAAACATTCTTGGATGGCGCGTGCTGAGTTCGATGGTGCTGAGCCCTGTTGGAATGTCCAAGGTTTTCGGCAAAAATGTTTGCATGTCCAAGGCTTTAATACACCCTCTAGAATATTTTCGAGATAATATTCGGCATTTATTCTGATGCCACGGTCGATTATACGAGCGGAGAGCGACCATTGGCTGTTATGGCGGCCCACACCATCACCATTGCCGGCGCTTGAGTTCTGCTAGCCAACCGAAGGTGCAGATTTTCAGCTGACCTCTTTGGCAAGTAAACACGATCATTTTGTTTTTTTGTACAAACTACTGGACAACGAATGTTTTCGCAACGGAGAATATCAAATTCGGCAGTTCACCTCTTTCGGCAAAGCACTTCTTTGACGTTAGGCTACGCTGCCAGTATCACGGTAACGAGCGATGGTACGAGACACAAAAGATTTATTCACATTTAAATGTTGGAGTGCTCTAACGAGAGCCACTTCTGGTTTTCCAGCCAAATATAAAGAAATCGCACTATCACGCTTGAATTCCATCACAAATAACTTTTTTTCTGCAAATTTTCTCCTAAATGCTTTTGTACGCTTGTAAATAATATAATGAGCTGTCACTGGAATAATTTTAACAGCTGTCGGACGAGTGGTTTGGAAATGACAGCAGTCTGAAGTTGGTTGCAGTTTTTTCATCTCACCCTGCATATTTAAAGAATCGAACATGGGCTGAGGATAAACAGCTGTCGGCAAAACCGACTAATACTTTTTAACTTGTTTAGTTATAAATATTGCACTACTCTACATAATTACTACACTACTTTTCAATTTATAAAATCGAAATAGTACTTACCTAATTGAAAGATTTCCAAATTTTGTAACATTTCTGAGTTCTCGACGGATTTCATCATATCAAATAAGCAATCTTGAGAAAATGTAAACATCCACAATTTCCAAATTGATATGAGACTTTGAAAGAAAATTAAAATTGCCTTGGGAAAAGAAAACGAAAATGAAAATAGGGTGAATTTTATAATATCAAATATAAAAAAAATAACGTTGAAGCTCGTATCAAATTTAAGCGAAATTTTTATGGTTTGCCATGATATCCAAATACATACAAATGATATCCAGAAGGATATATACAAATAAAAAGGGCTCAAAGTGCAGACTTTTTATGCCCTCCACCACTATGATTATCAAAGTAAAACGAAACATTGAAAAGAGTACAATATGTTAAATTTGAATATCAATTCATTTTAATTGAAACAAAATATAAATTAAAATAGCACAACCCTTATTATTTTTATCCTATTTTGGCTGGAAATTGTGACAAAAACCTTCAAAATACCGACAATCTGGAGGTACCATTTTATAGCGGCTAAAACTATTAGTGGACCTGTAGCAGGGAGCGAACAAACCTTTTGTCAAGTTTCATTCAATTTGGTTGGATAATGTGTCAGAAACCTTCGAAATACCGAAAATCGGTATTTTTGGGGACCATACATCTTCGTATAGTCTATGGTACCTCCCAATATTCGATATTTTGATGATTTTAGCTACATTATTGTCTGAAATTGCTTCAAATTTCGTATTTGCTAGGTAGAGGTAGCTTTATTCTACCTTCTACAATTGTGCCATTGTTGACACAAATTTTTTTGTTATTTTGTTGCTTCAAAGTAGTCTGGCTTCACCCCATTGTTCTGCTTTCAAAATAAAGATAATGGGTGGAAGCTATATAAAAAGCTGAACGGATCTCGATAATATATGACAAAGGTATTTCTGAGCTGAATCGAATGAAACATATATATGGGAGCTATAGCTATATCTTAAGAGATTTTCACTAACATTGAAGTATTTACTTCTTGGCCGAATTCGGTCGCATGTGCCAAAATCCACACTATTTGGGCTGATATAAACCATTTGGTTCACAAAAACTTTAAATCGAATAGAGATATACATATATAGGAGATATATCCAAATCTCAACCGATCTTCATAAAATTTGTAAGAAGTCTTCCTGAGCTGTATTTAATAACTTTTCCGGAATAACGTTATTATGGAGTTCATACCAGTAAAGAAAGTCCTAAAGTCGGGCGGGGCCGATTTAATGATACCCTACACCACTTTGCTAATTTAGTTGAGCTCCACATAACAATTCAAAGGTTTTATGGGAGAATTCAATCATACATCCTATGATTATAATTTAAAATTCAAAGGACTAAATATGCCGAAGCATTTGTATCTTTTAAATTCGGACTTGTATTGCCCATTTGGTGCAAAATTAATTTGAAATCAGAACCGATCTCGATAAAATTTGACAAAGATATTTTTGAGCTGTATTTGATATATTTCCCTGAATATCGTTGTTACGGAGTGCATATTCCGGCTGTGGGTAACAAATACAACAAATCGGATGAACAATATATATGGGAGCTATAGCTATATCTGAACCGATCTTCACCAAATTTGACATACTAGCTTCTAGACTCAATTCGGTCGTAAGTGCATCCAATTTGGGCAAATATTAGACATTTGGTGAACAATAAAAGGTAAATCGGACGAAGTTTTCTATGGGAGCTATATCCAAATCTGAACCGATCTCGATAAAATTAAGCAAAGGTATTTCTTACCTGCATTTGATATATTTCCCCAAATATTGTAGTTACAGAGTGCATATTACGGCTGCGGAGGGCAAAAATAACAATTCGGATGAACAATATATATGGGAGCTATAGCTATATCTGAACCGATTTCGATCAAATTTGGCATACTTGTTTTCAGGCCTAATTCCATACTATTCGGGCTGATATTACACGTTTGGTGCAAAATAAAAAGCAAATTGGACGAAGATATATAAGGGAGCTACATCTAAATTTTTACCGATTATCTCCAATTTCAATAGGGTTCGTCCTTGGGCCAAACAAATGTTGTTTGGAAAATTTCATATCAATCGGATAATAAATGCGACCTGCATTTTGTTCACAAAAATACATGGACAGACGGACGGACAGACGGACTGACATGCATAAATCAACTCAGAAAGTGATTCTATGCAGATCATCAAAAGGAACTGTGGGTCTATCTCGTTTCCTTTTGCCTGTTACAAACAAATGCACAAAGACATAATACCCTGACCACCTTGTGGTGTAGGGTATAATAATGGCTGAGGGGGACTTAAATAACAAATCGGATGAACATTATATATTATAATTAACATGAATGGAAGGGAGCTATAGCTATATCTTAACCGATTTTCACTAAACTTTATATACTTGCTTCCAAGCTCAATTTGGTTGCATGTGCCATCCAATATGGGACAATAAAAGACAAATCGGACGAACATATATATGGGACCTATATCCAAATCTAGTCCGATTATCTCCAATTTCCATAGGGTTTGTTTCTAGCACTGTGGAAAATTTCACCTCAATCTGACAATTAATGCACCCTGTACTTTTTTACAAAAATACATGGACGGACAGACGGAGCATGTGATTCTATGCAGATCGTCAAAAGGAACTATGGGTCTATCTCGTTTCCTTCTTAATGTTACAAGCAAATGCATAAAGACTTAATACGCTGACCACAGAGTGGTTTAAGGTATAACAAGTAAAAAATCAGCTAATTTCGGCTGTTACGAACTTTTAATACCCTCCACCATTTTAAAGGATCTTGAAAATTTTCAAAAAAAATCCGTCGAAAATACCAACTAAATGAAAACTGTTATATGGGGGCTATACGAAGTCGGGGACCTGAATAATTCTTTGTCATAGGCTGTAGTACCGATTCTGAACTTCAAATACGAAAATTGAAACAATTCCGTTGAATAATGTAGCTAATATCATAAAAAACCGAATAAAGGGAGGTATATACGATAACGTGGATAATTCTCTTCCAGGGGGTAAATTACTCAGAAGGAACTCCTGGTGTGGAATTTCAGAGAATTCCATTGAAAAATGTGGCTACAATCATTAAAATACCGAATATCGGGTAGTACCGTTATATGAGGGCTACACGACATCGTGGACCGATATAGCCCATCTTCGAACCTGACCTGCCTGCATACTAAAGACTAATCTGTGCAAAGTTTTACCTTCCTTTCTTAATTCGTTTTGACTGATGGACAGACGGACGGACATGGCTAAATCGTCTTAGAATTTTACGCTGATCAACAATATATGTACTTTGTTAGTTCTAAAATTATTATTTCGATGAGTTATAAATGGAATGACGAACTTAATTCACCCTCTATACTATGTACGGTGGAGGGTATAAAAAATCGTTGGATCGAAAAAACGTTGGTTATTTTCCGTATACTTAATGAACTCGGCACGCTATGATGTTTTTATAAAATAATACTGGATTGTTTAAATCGGAAAGATTCAGATCTAAGTTATGTTGACATTCGTGAAATACACTGAATGTAACTGGTAAAAAATATATAAATATTTCGATACTTACTTCAATATATATTTCAAACGTGTAATGGCGACGTTCCCAAACATAATACAATTGACCGTAGCAAGCCAAAATCGAGGTGACAAATAGAAATAAATTTAAACTAAAGAAGATATTTGAAATTATTATAATTCCAACAAAAACCAAAATTAAAACATCTCACATTTTCAATGGATGTAAAAATTTGCTTTTATATTTAATATTACAGCCGGAAAACATGCCGATCCATTTTAAAGGATTGAGAATTCGACCACCCTTATCACTTATATCGATTAGTATTGTATCCATAATTGTTGGAGATTTTCAATATTGTCAAGTCTAAACAAACAAACTCTTAGGATTTAGAATGTTCAATGAAAATGACTTTTCTGAGTTTTTCGAAAATAGCAGCAAGTTTCGCTAACTGAATTTAAACAGATGTGTAAAATAATTGTTTTCCATACCTATACATATATTGTTATACCATACCTATACATATATTGTTTTATTTGGTATCATGTTAGTCGCGTTTTTTATAACAATAAAAACGCATAATTATTGCGGTTTGGTTTAAGTTGTGGTTTTGTAATGGCCAAACTCAAATTGATTATTATTTACATATGTATAATGCAGGATTTAAAAAGTATACTGGCAAGGACCCCCTAGAAAAATAGAAATTGGTATTAAATTTCATAATGTTGTCAATTCTTTGGATCCTTTAACGAAGTTTTTTTAGCTGTTGTTAAAAGAATTTATTTTAAATAACTCATGCAGAGCATATACCCTAAATTTCAAACTATTGTCATACCAATTTAATACTCAAAAAGGCCAGCTAGTATAATTATAAATTATATTATAAATATGAGTATGAGCTGGCCCGGTCCACGTTGCCGGCTCCCAATTTTAAAGCTTAATAAATTACAGATCTGACTTATCTAAGCGGCACAATTTTTATTATAAGTAATGACTCCATAGTAATTTCTTAACAGAAAGATATATTCATGGTAAAAAATATCATAGATTTTCACCTTTGATATTTTGAATAGTCTACTCTTATTTTTCAGCCATAGGCTTTAATTTGAGTTTTAAAAAAAAAATTAAGTTCGGCCGGGCCAAACTTTTAGTACCTTCCACCTTAGGGTAAAGGAAACATTAGAGCCTATAAACCAATTTTTAGACACATTCATGGGAAAATGTGCCAAAAATCATCAAAAACCGAATATCGGGAAATAGGCTATATGGGGCTATACAAAAACGTGGACCTATACATACAGTGTTTCGCCAAAAGAGCTAGAACCCATTAAGACCAAAAAAATACCAATTTCTAGACAAATCCGCGAAGAAATGTGGCAAAAACCATTAAGAATACCGATTATCGGGAGGTACCGTTATATGGGGGCTATACCAAAACGTGGACCTATAATTACAATGATACGCCACACGAACTGGGACTCATTATGACCTACAACTACCAATTTTTCGAGAAATCCGTGAAAAAATGTGTCAAAAATCATCAAAATACCGAATATCAGGAGGTACCGTTATATGGAGACTATACTAAAACGTGGACCTACACATATAATGATTCGCCACATGAACTAGGACCCATTCTGATCTACAAATACCAATTTTTAAAAACTGTGGGAAAAACCACCAAATACCGAATTTCGGGAGGTACCGTTATATGAGGGCTATGCCAAATCATGGACCCATACATGCTATGTTTAGCCACCGGAGCTAAAACCTATTATGACCAACAAATACCAATTTTTAGACAAATCCGTGAAAAAATGTAGCAAAAATAATCAAAATACCGAATATCGGGGGGTACTTTTATATGGGGGCTATACCAAAGCGTGGACCTATACATGTAATGTCTCGCTACACGACCTAGGACCCGTTATGACCTACAAATACTAATTTTCAGGCAAATCCGTGAAAAAATGTGGCATAAATCATCAAAATACCGAATATCGGGAGGTATCGTTATAAGGGGACTATACCAAAACGTGGACCGATATATCTCATTTTCAATACCAACCATCTTAGACACAATACAAATTGCCCAACTAAATTTTGGCGCTCTACGTCAAATAATGTGGCCTGTATCGTGATTTAAACAGACAGACAGACGGACAGACAGACATAATTTAGGGCAGAATGATTTCAGAATAGTCAAAAATAATTACTCTTTTACTCGTAAGACTGGAACTAAGTTTTTTGTCATTTAAAATGTGCGTTGGAGACCCCATAAAGTTAATATTTTTCATCATAGTATAATTTAATGACGATTAAAAAAAAGTGGGGTCAATACTTAAATAAATGCCTATGGGGACAATTATCTTCCCAGGGTAGACTAAATACAATTTTTTAGTCAAATCAATTGATGAATGTGGTCAAGACCAAGATGGGCCCTTCTTCGAAAATTGAAAATTATATGCGAAGAAGTTTTCTACTCCTTTAGAAGTAAAGATGCCAAATAAGGGCAAAAAAGAAGGAAAAAAGTGGCCAAGACCCCGAAAATAGCTTAAAACACACAGTGCAACATACAGCAACAAATTCAAACGCCATAATTTTTACATTTTTTTAATTTTATTTAAAATAAAGCAAAAAATGTCGGAAATAGCATCAAATTTTAGAATAAGTTTAGATTTGTTCGAATTGATCATATTTGACACGAACTATGGCCTTCAAACGGCCAATGAAACCGTCACACGCTGCCCAAATGTTGCTCTGTGGTATTTTGGCCCATTACCGCCGAAGCGCTTGCTTGAGATGATCGACACTTTGGTATTTTATAGTGCCAACCTTGCTTTCCAAAATACTCCAGACGCAATAGTTCAATGGATTGGTATACGGAGATTTTGATGGCCATTGTGCGCTGGAAATGAAGCGACGAACCTCATTTTTTAACCATTTTTGGGTGGCGTGTGCTGAGTGCGATGGTGCTGAGTCCTGTTGGAATGTCCATGGTCTGCGGCCAAAATGTTTGCGTGCCCAAGGCTTTAACACACCCTCCAGAATATTTTAGCGAAAATATTCTGCATTTATTCTGATGCCACGGTCGATTAATACGAGCGGAGAGCGACTATCGGCCACACCAACACCGGCGCTTGAGTTTTGGTGGCTAACCTTCAGCTGACCTCTTTGGCAAGTAAACACGATCATTTTCTTTGTCTACAAGCTTCTGGACATCGAATGTTTTCTCATCGGAAAAAACCAAATTCGGCAGTTCACCACTTTCGTCCAAGCGAAGCAACTCTTTAGCTCTATTGAGTCTATTTTCTGTTCTGTAGCGGTGTAAGTTCTTGCCCTTTTTGGAATTTCAATGGCTTTACCTCCATCTCATTTTTCAATATTTGCCGAATGGAATATTTCGATATGTTCAGCTCACGAACCATTTTTCGGAATAATTATAATTTTAACAGCTGTTAAAATACAGCTGAATAAAATAATTTTAACAGCTGTCGGACGAATGGTTTAGAAATGACAACAGTCTGAAGTTGGTTGCAGTTTTTTCATCTCACCCTGTATATATTTTTGGCCGGTTTCATGTATTTGATGCACCAAACAAAATATGTGTGTCCGGTTCCAATGAAATACGGAGTGAATGACAGAATTTTGTACAAAAATAAATTTGCCAATTCATTCGGTTTAGATTTGGATAGGATTCGTTCAATCCTTGGTGAAAATGTTGTTTGGAAAATTTCATCTCAATCGGATGATAATTGCGACCTGCATTTTGTTCACATATTTGAACAGACGGACTGCCATGCATAAATCGACTCAGAAAGTGATTTTATGAGGATCCCCAAAAATAACTATGGGTCTATTTTGCTTCCTTCTTTATGTTACAAACAAATGCACAAAGACATAATGCCTGACCACTATGTGGTGTAGGGTATAAATATTGTATGACCTAAAGCGTTATAATAAATACGATTCTTTAAATTTCGAAATTTTCTTTATTTTTATTTTAAGACCACAAAATATTCTTCTATAAAATTTTGAATTCATATATATTATCAAAAGGGAGTGACGAAGTACACCGGGTATATTTCTTACATGCACTCTTGTAAGAAGAGAAAATATGAGAGGCTGGAACGAAATATCTAAAAAAGAGGGAAATTGCGTTATTATTGTTTTTCATAACATTTCTTATACATACACTTCAACTCATCTGTACGGATCTTTTCGGTGGATTTCAACTGTCAATTCCATTTCGTATACGATAAATTCAATCCCCTGGATTTGAAAGTCCGTTTCATTTGATGACGGTTGAAATCCACTGAATTTGTCTTTATAAGTTTTAAGTGGCCATTTATATTTTACAGATGATTATAAGTTTTTGACCTTCAATTTTCAAAGAAATGGGTGGAGTAATATTTTCCGTATTATTTATTTCTAAATATTCGCATTGTAGGCCCAAATATTTAATTAATTTCAGTACCCGAACGCATTCAAAACATTTGCTCTGCTCCAGAGCACCGAAAATGTAAAAATTTTTACTACGATGACAGATATTTCCTTTATAACATTAAAAGAATTGCAAAACTAGTAGATTTTTGCAGGATCTGGTACAATACAGAGCACTTGATTTAATATGTCAATAAAATGCATTTGGAGAGAACGTTTCATGATTTATTACCGACACAGTTTAACTTTGCATGGAAACACAAACGAAAAGATCGGCCAATATTGAGGACTAATTTAAATTAGAAGGCACATATGTATAACTAAGTATATATTTCAACTTACAGTTAGAAAAGTTACAAACGACATTGTTGTAAAACCTCCAACATCCATGAGAATTGTGATATTGGAACGTTGTATCATAAATCGCCTTAAATTGTTTGCTCTCTTTGTACCATTTGGTTCCGTATATATCCAATGGCAAATGTTCACTCTGAAAATAAAAGAAGTAAAAAAGCGCTAAGTTCGGCAGGGCCGAATTTTTAATTCCCTCGTCCATGAGGGAAAGGAAACTTTAAAAATAAGAAGTAAAAAAACATTAAGTTCGGCCGGGCCGAACTTTTAATACCCTCCACCATTGGGTAAAAAAACATTTTTAAATCAAAGTTTCTGAATTCAAACGTGTTTCACTTTAAACTACTAATACCTGTAAGACCATTTGGATAATGCTGTTCAAGTTTTCAAAAAACCGTTAAGTGGGTTAGGCCGTTATATGGGGGGCTATACCAAAACAGGAAACTATATAGGCAATTTTATACTTCAAGGACTGTCATCTACCACATATTCTTAAATACCAAATATGAAACAATTTCGTGGGTAAATTTGACTAGGATTAGCCAAATACCGAATATCGGCGGGTATCGTTATATGTGCGCTATAGGAAAACGTGGACCTAAATATTCAATGTTCTGCCACCGGAGCTCAAACCCATTATGAACTACAACTACCAATTTTTAGACAAATC